TTATCAATCTACATGTAGCATTTTACTGACAATTTGTTTTCTAAGCATCTGACAAATCTAGTGGTAAGTCATTGTCTTATTATGTTTATTTTATTTTTTTTAGCCTAACGTTACATGCCTGGTGTGTAGCAGCCGCATCATACCTCATGCACTTTCATAGCCAGCATTTCTCTCGCAAGGTGAAAGACCTGGAGATCTACGAGACTCTCTGAGAATAACATTAAAGGAATTCATTTCGGAAAACATATAACTTAATGTCCATAATTAGACGCTTGCATAACAAGTCATCAGCTTAACCGTTATAATGTGAGCATAGGTTGTCAACCTGATGACACTAAGAACATCTCTGGTTAAATGGACAAATTGATTTGTTTTTGTTTCAGAATATGAATCTGCACAAATTGTCCTCGCGATTGCGCCCAACAGTAAGTTTTGCTTACCTTTTATATATATCTATAAATATACCAAAATTTAAAAACATTTTACAGGACAGATCACTCATAACAACAGATTGTCATATTCAGGTCACACAGAAATTCAGACATCTCCACATCCAAGGAAGTGGCCGGCAGCTGGAGGCGGTTGTTGCTGAAGCATCATCAGCTGAGCTGAATCCGCTGTCAGTCTTCAGAACTTCAGAGCAGGATCCAGTACGTTCTAAAAACTTATGGAATGGACAGAATTGAAAACATGTTATTGAAAAGCTCTTTATGTTGTGACATTTCGTACTCTATGCCAACCCTCTCTCTTTTTTTTCCTCAGGCATGCCATTCAGAAAGGCATACTGGGCAATACTACACAATCCCCCCAGCTCACATCCAAAAACTCTTCCCCCATGGACTGCCTCCACGTTTTCAGTTGCAGGTTTGGGAACAGTATTCTCTGTGTGGAACACTTTAGTATATATTTAATATAGTCTAAATAGAATTGGCATGATGTTTGTGGTTGAAGTTGCCTGGACGTGTTAGTACTCTTATTCATGTCTAATACATCTTGGTACTCTTGTTTCAGGTTAAGACATTTAATGAAGGCTGTGTGATGGTGAGGCCGCCAGCGCTGGAGCTTATCTCATATCTTAAAAAAGCTGATTACAGCAATCCACCCCTGCGTTGTATACTGTGTATCCTCAAACAGAAAATTCCCAGTCAACTGTTATTTTGTGCATATTTCTCTTCCATATTTCACACATTCCTTGACAATGTGCTTTAGATGGAGATACTGGCTCTGGAAAGACAATGTCTTTGTGTCATGCCCTGCATTACTGTTACACTCAGGGCTGGCTGATCCTGCACATACCTGATGGTGAGCTGCACTCACTCAATCAAAATGCAAGATGATGTGAAGTTTGGAGTCTGATGATGTTGTGATGTTCTCTCTGTAGCTCATCTGTGGGTCAAGAACTGTAAAGAGCTGCTACCCTCTTCCTCTCGCCCCTCACGCTTTGACCAGCCGATTCAGGCTTCCCAATGGCTGAAGAACTTCAAAATCACCAATGAACGCTTTTTATCCAAGGTGTGTTTATTAGGGTTTATTGATATGAAATTAGGTGAGTAGATCACATTTTCACACTAAAATATATATTTATGTAAAAAATATTTATGTACACAGTACACTACCAGTCAAACGTACAGTAAAGGTATTTAAAATGTTACAAAAGATTCTATTTCAAATAAATGCTGTTCTTTTGAACTTTCTATTCATCAAAGAATCCTGAACAAAATTGTGCACAACTGTTTTCAACATTGATAATAATAATGAATGTTTTTTGACCTGACCATTAAATCTGCATATTAGAATGATTTCTGAATTATATGAAATTTTATATAATTTATTTTTTGAACAAAATATGGACTATGTAGTTGTCTAATGTCTAAATATAAAGTAGAAATTCTAGAACATTTCATAATATATACTCATATATATATATATATATTAGTTTTTTACCGTGCTGCTCTGATGTCAATCTTATCAATTGACAGATAAAGACAACACAGCGATATGTGTGGACAAAGAGAGAAAGTACCGAGAAGGGGCAGCCTTTAGGGGAGCTTGTTGATCAGGTGAGTTTTCTTCATCATCTTCATCAAAAAAATTCCCCATTTCTACTACCTTAAATTGGGGATATCATAAACTTTGTTGCCTTGTTTTATTATTTTATTCTTGTATATGCATGAATTATTTAATTTTAATGTTTATTTAAAAAAAAAAATTTTTTTGAATTTGAACAGGGTGTGAATCGCATGAAGAGCAGCAGTGATGTGGTGGGTGCAGTGATGCGAGAGCTGAGGCTTCAGGCAGGGGGCGCCACTGATGGCGAGGGGGCCTTTAAACTGGCCGTGGCTGTGGATGGAGTAAATGCTCTGTGGGGACAAACATCTCTAAAAAAGGAAGACAAGACTATGGTACGTTGGCATAAATTAGCCAGTATTAAATATGAATTCATATTTAAAAAAAAAAAACAATATTATATTAATGTTATTAAATAATTAGTATCATTCATTTTATGCAGTTTGAGCCAGAGGAACTGACTCTGATCCATAATCTGAGGAAGATGATGAAAAACGATTGGGTAAAAAAACCTCTCACTTATTATTATAATACAGATTGTACTCACAGTGAGTTGTTTACTCTCAATTTAAGGCATGTTCACACCAAGAAAATATAACTAAATGATAACTATATTAGTGTCCACACCTGCATATAATATTGTTCTGTTAATTCTGTTTATAAGTTTGCTGCTTTAAATGCTCAAGCTCTTAAAGCAGGATGGATTCTGATTGGCTGTCAATGTTTTTATCCTTCACCAGCTGTAAAAAGTCCTTCTGAATGTGATTTTGACTATATCGTTTCACTGTGTCATTATCATTATAGTTGTGGTGTGGACTCTGCTGTTTTCTTACATTTGGCATGATTCTTAGAACTAACTCTTTATCATTATCGCTCTAGTTATCTTCCTAGGTGTGAACATGCTTTTACTTTCACTTTATATTGCTCTCTGTTAAAGCGTGGAGGTGCCATTCTCACAGCACTGTCTCAGACCGGGTCCCTGTTCAAGCCACGGTCTGCTTACCTTCCCAATGAGTTACTAGGAGAGGTCAGCATCCCTCACTCACAAAAGCTCATTATGCCTTTTTTTCCATTAAGCTGCAGTGTAAATGCCCTAAGTTAACAGAGTTTTGTTTTTAGATTTTTACTTCAACAATAGACTTTGAAGCATTTGCAGAACTTTTGAGGCTGTTGCATGTATCGTCTAGATTTGTTAAAAGGGCTTAACGTATTTTCTCTTCTCATTCTTTCTCTCACTCTCTTGTTTCCCCTATTTCTGTCTATCAGGAGGGGTTTGATAAAATGGAACCTTTTGTGCCAGTTTCTGTGCCCATCTACAATGAGAAGGAGTTTGAGAGCTGTTATCTGTACTATTTAGACCGTAACTGGCTGCAGCATCCGCACAGTAAGTTTGTGTTTGTGTGTTTGAGGTACAATCAGTGGACAATGGCAGCAGCACTAGATGTAAAGAGAATAATGTTCAAGTCATAATTATGATTTAATGTGCGTTCATGTGATTTTTGGACTGAATAAAATGAAAGCAACAGGCAATGTCTTTTTTTCATTCTCTCTTTTTCACTTCCTGGCAAAGTAGGAAGCTTGTTTAGTATTTATAGCTATTTTATATCTACAGAACCAAAAAATGCCTTTATAAAACCTATATTTGAAAAAGCTATGTTCACATATTCATCTCGTAAATTAAAGGGTTAGTTCACCCAAAAATAAAAATTATGTCATTAATGACCCATCCTCATATCGTTCCAAGCCCGTAAGACCTCTGTTCATCTTCGGAACACAGTTTAAAATATTTTAGATTTAGTCCAAGAGCTTTCTGTCCCTCCATATTGTCCTTGGCTAGAATGAAATTAAAGACATCATCAAAGTAGTCCATGTGACATCAGTGGGTTAGTTACAATGTTTTGAAGCATCGAAAATACATTTTGGTCCAAAAATATTCCCCAAAACTACAACTTTATTCAGAATTGTGTTGTCTTCCGGTTCTGTTGTCAAACCGGTTTCAGTTACGCTGATGACTTGAGACGCTGCTGACATGTTATCTGGTGCGTCCGTGTATTCAGGTTCAAATAAATATGGCTGGGCAAAAAAAAAATGCAAGTCTTCCTCTGTGTCAATCCTTAGACATGTTTGCTAATATTGTTTTGTAATATTTAAAGCTCGGGCACACCGGATTACACGTAGCAGCGTCTTAGGTCATCAGCATCACTGAATGCAGATTGACAATAGAACCGGAAGACAATACAATGCTGAATAAAGTAATAGTTTTTGATATTTTTGGAATGTATTTTTGATGCTTCAAAACATTCTTACACACTGATGTCACATGGACTAATTTAATGTCTTTAATTCCTTTCTGGTCAAGGACATTATATTGTACATACATTTTCGATGGAGGGGCAGAAAGCTCTTGGATTAAATCTAAAATATCTTAAACTGTGTTCTGAAGATGAACGGAGGTCTTACGGGCTTTGAACGACTTGAGGGCAGTCATTAATGACATAATTTTCATTTTTGGGTGAACTAACCCTTTAAGATCATTCTGACATGACTTGAAGTCAGAATAACCTATTATGTATGTTACAAAACCCATTTTTAGTATCTCTTATGTTACCAACAGGTCTATCTGAAGAAGGAAAGAAAGAGCTCATCTTTCTCAGCAACAAAAATCCATCTGTCCTGGAACGATTGTGTGCCTTCTTGTAATGCACATTTGCGTCTCTCTTGGATCTGTATATCATGTGAATTCAATAAACTTATAAGCATGCAGAATTTTTCATTAAAAAAATCTTGGAATAAAAATTTGGAAAACGTTTACTGTCTTTTCATATATAAAAAAAATAACAAGTATCTTGAAATGGCTCATGATAAACGTTGTTGTCTGAATACATGGCTCTGGTTGTTGTTGGAAGTCACGTGATGAAGAAAATGGTCATGTGGACGCTGCCTCACCCGGAACTCTGGCGCGTGGTGCGTGATTGATTGTTTACAGCTCAGACACAGTATAAAAAGTGAAGAAGATTGTCTTTTAAACTGCATTTAGAGGACAGTAATCATATTAATATTTCCGTTTTTAGGCTTCGGGCAAACTTTAAATACACAGAAGGGGCTGTCTGCTGATGATAGGTCGTGGGAACCTGATTAAATATTTGAATAGGCGTTGTTGTTGTTTAGTTAGGCTATATATGTAACAAGACTATCGGCATCATCTCGACAGAATGAGAGAAACAGCTATTTTCATTCTGTTTACTGGATTAATCAATATAGCAAGAGGTGTGTTTATTATCCAAATATAAACAGATAAGTGATATATGAAATGTGTTAAACTACTGCTGTCTTTATCATATGTATCTGCTTGTTTGTGTCACCCTGTCCAGCTGACAGTACCGACTGTCAAGCACTGAATTTCGGTTATGGTTCGGTTGTGTGCGCGTGCAATGCGACAAACTGCGACTCGGTGGGTCGGGTTGTGTTGCCAGATCCCGGTCAGTTCTTGTCATATGTCAGCAGTAAAACTGGCAGCAGACTCGTGAGGAGTCAAGGCCAGTTCCAGAAAAACAGCACAGGTGCAGGTGAGTGCTCTTAAAGTTACCATGAAATCAAACTGGACAACATCTAAATATATTGCAGCAGTTTTTATTTGTGATTTTTTTCTTTTCCCATCGTTTTAAATTCATGTGCATTCGTAAACTTTAATCAAAATTACACCTCCCTCCCTTTTGCCACGCTATCTATTTTCTGATGACGTGTTTACTGGCGTTAGGGCTGGACAACCTGTCACTCACATGAGATCACAGCAATGGCAAACCTCAACCATCCAATGAATTCCTGATGGACAAAATCAAATACCGCCCTACACATTTTCTTGTTCGAGAAGCCAGAAGAAAAGACAATGGTAACTTTCGTTTAATGCCGGCTTTAAGAGACCGTATGCAACTGAGATTTCTATATGTTGTTGGTCTGCAAGAGTTGTTTTACCCCAAAATTAAAATTCTGTCATCATTTAGTACCCTCATTTCAAACAAAAGATATTTTTTTCCATCCATTGAGAGTCCACAAGTTAAACACATCAAAAAGTGCAAAAAGAGAGATACATGATCATATTATACGGTAAACAGATTTAATTGTACAAGTAATCCATATGAAGATACTTCTGAAGATACATGATCACATTATACGGTAAACAGATTTAATGCATTCATTCAGATGTAAACATATAGTTAATAAAAAATGGTAAACACTGAAGCTCAACCATGATTGTTTGATGTAAGAGAATAAACCAAGTTGGTTCTTGCATCAAGCTTGTTCTTTTGAGCTTGTTTACCATATTTGATTAACTCTATTTGCATTCATTTTTTTTAAATGTGAATGAACGTTTTGGTTGCTTGGACTTTCAATGGATGGACAAAATAAGATGAGAATTGAGTAGATTGAGTATTTTCATTTCCAGAAAATAATTGAATCAATAAATGTTAAAATTATTGTATAGTTACATTTATTTGACCATCATATCAAAAGAATACATTTGTCACACAGAAAGAGTGGAGTTTTCTATTACTGTGATGTCATGTGAGTGACAGGTTCCCCCGACCTCACGCCAGTAAACACGACGTCATCAGAGAAAAGAAGAAATGTTGCTGCAAGAGGGAGGGGAAGTTTTTTTTTTAAATTGAAGATTACAAAAGCACATGAAATGTAAAAAAAAAAATAAAGAAAAATAATGATGTGCACAGAATCTTATAATAAATACTGCAGTATTCCATCAAACATAAGAATTGTCAGTTTTTATTTCATGGTGATTTTAAGGAAAGTAGAGGAAGAACTATTAAATATATAAATATATTTGTTTAATATCATGTCAAATGCTGAACCCCTCTCTTCATTCTCTTATGAATCTTAGCTCTCAGAATCACTCTGAATCCCAGTCAGAAGTACCAGCGCATTAAAGGATTTGGGGGAGCCATGACAGATGCGGCAGCTATGAATATTCTGTCTCTGTCCTCTGGAGCTCAGGACCAGCTGCTCAGACAGTACTTCTCCCCAGATGGTGAGAGTGACAGAGAATGAAAATGTGTTTAGCATTCTGAGTTCTGAATGGTGCACATCCCTGTCTGTCACAGGTATTGAGTACCGTTTCGTGAGAGTGCCAGTGGCCAGTTGTGATTTTTCAACTCGCCTTTACACATACGCTGACACTCCAGGGGACTACGATCTCCAGAACTTCACCCTGGCCAAAGAGGATATTCACATGAAGGTATCATACACAAACAGAAACACATCATCACAAATTTTGCCTAAAAACTGCCATAGAATTGCCCTAAAACCACCAGTACCAATTAAATCTTTCTTTCAACTGATTATTTCAAAATGGCTGATTAATTTGGAAAATAAGCAAGTGCTTTAGAAGTGATTATTGAATCTTTCTCTCAATCGATTAATTCAGAAACATAGATTCATTCAGTAATATACTCCCCTGTGTGTTGCTTTGAGATATGCAGCGGTTCTGTTGAACTATTTTCGTTGGCATTGTAAATGGATTCTAGTTTACACCACGTTCAGTCTAAATGCTTGGGTCTCTCAAGGTGCGATTTTGACTCTATAGACCATTTTGCGAGATGTAAACAACACTGGTCCAGAAGCACTTCCCGTTTCAGTTTTTTAAAACTACATAAGCGTTGGAATAAAATACAACCAGCAGAACATTTACAACTGAATCAAAAAGTTAAACACACAGCTTTAAGATGTTTTCTTTACATTTGAAATACAGAAACAGGAAGTGTTTCTGGACAAGTGTTGTTTACATCTTGCAAAATGGTCTATAAAGACTCAATAATGTCTACTTGCACGTCGTTAAAACAACAATCACAAAATTACTGTAGACGATACATAATGCACACCTCTAATCACAACACCACAGTCATATTCTGATTAATTGAATCTTTCTCCCGCAGATTCCCCTGTTGCAGCGGGCACAGGCTCTCTCTGCGCAGCCTCTCAATCTGTTTGCCAGTGCCTGGAGCGCCCCTGCCTGGCTGAAGACCAATGGCGCACTGACTGGGAAGGGCTCACTCAAAGGCAAGCCTGGAGGCAAAGAGCACAAGACCTGGGCTCAGTACTACATTAGGTGCACAAATATCTGAACTACATGGACTTTAATATTGTTTTTCATTATAGTAATTTTCACATTTTTATCCTTTTAACAATGGCTTTTATGTGCCCTATTCAGATTTCTAGAGGAGTATGGGAAATATAATCTTTCATTCTGGGGGTTGACGTCAGGGAATGAGCCCACTGCAGGCCAAGTGACAAATTACAGTTTTCAGGCTTTGGGTTTTACTCCAGAGACACAGCGTGACTGGATTGCCCTGGATTTGGGTCCAGCACTCCATTCCTCATCCTTTCCCAAGACCCGCCTTATAATCCTCGATGACAATCGACTTCTGCTTCCACACTGGGCCAAAGTGGTAAATGTTGGGTGGACAAAAAGAGGGATAGGAAGATGTTCATTAAGATGCAGATGATGGAGTCGACTTCTCTTCCCTGTTGTAGGTTCTGAGTGACGTGCAAGCAGCACGTTATATACACGGCATTGGTGTTCACTGGTACCTGGACCGTCTTGCACCACCTGACATCACCCTGTCAACCACACACCACCTCTACCCAGAGTACTTCCTGTTTGCAACTGAGGCGTGTTCTGGATGGAAATCGGGGGATCGTGGTGTGCGTCTGGGCAGCTGGGACAGAGCAGAGGACTATGCACATGACATCATACAGGTACTTTATCAATATAGAACAAAATTATTATATACTATATAATAACATAATCTTGATTGAGGATTTACATATTAAATACCTTACCTGTAGAGTATTTTAACATTATTATTTAATATTGAATTATATTTAAGCCTTTTCCTTCCCCATCTTAATCAGGATTTTAAAACCTATCCACCTTATTCCTGACGAGTTTACTGCGTTTTGAATTATGGGTGGCACATCTGGTTTGGGGATCTTCCATTCAAAAACACTGAAACGAATAATTTCAGATCATAAGATTGCCTTATAAATGAAGCTGATCTGTCAGTTTGTCTGAATCCTTCATTGTTTATTTTCAGACATCATGAGAATAACGTAACACTTGGTATTTTAACGTGAGATGTCAGAGCAAGAATATCTATGGCAAGAGCTTGTTTCAGTTGCTGCATTTAGTTTCCTCGTGATAATTTTCTTTTTTCGCTTTGCATTTCGCTGTAATAGTATGAAAAAATGACAACATAGACTGCACATTTGTGGTCTGTTCTCCCGATTTAGTTTACAATATATCCCATTAATTCACTGGAATGCACAAAGAACTTCAAAATGTTCTCCTCAATCCTAACGTCTCTTCTTTCCAGGTTTGGTTTCACAGGTAAATACAATTTATTACCTGTCAAAATTATGAAAATCACTTCGAAATAGCAATGCTGAAGTTAATGGACATTTTTGATTAAGGAAACGTACACTACACTCACCTAAAGGATTGTTAGGAACACCTGTTCAAATTCTCATTAATGCAATCAACGGCAATTGCTTCAATGCATTTAGGGGTGTGGTCCTGGTCAAGACAATCTCCTGAACTCCAAACTGAATGTCAGAATGGGAAAGAAAGGTGATTTAAGGTGGCATGGTTGTTGGTGCCAGATGGGCCGGTCTGAGTATTTCACAATCTGCTCAGTTACTGACCAATTCTAGTGTTTACGAAGAATGGTGTGAAAAGGGAAAAACATCCAGTATGTGGCAGAAAATGCCTTGTTGATGCTAGAGGTCAGCGGAGAATGGGCCGACTGATAGAAGAGCTGATAGAAGAGCAACTTTAACTGAAATAACCACTCGTTACAACCGAGGTATGCAGCAAAGCATTTGTGAAGCCACAAAACACACAACTTTGAGGCGGATGGGCTACAACAGCAGAAGACCCCACAGGGTACCACTCATCTCCACTACAAATAGGAAAAAGAGGCTACAATTTGCAAAAGCTCACCAAAATTGGACAGTTGAAGACTGGAAAAATGTTGCCTGGTCCGATGAGTCTCGATTTCTGCTGAGACATTCGGATGGTAGAGTCAGAATTTGACATGGATCCATCATGCCTTGTTACCACTGTGCAGGCTGGTGGTGGTGGTGTAATGGTGTGGGGGATGTTTTCTTAGCACACTTTAGGCCCCTTAGTGCCAATTAGGCATCATTTAAATGCCACGGCCTACCTGAGCATTGTTTCTGACCATGTCCATCCCTTTATGGCCACCATGTACACCATGTCCTCTGGTGGCTACTTCCAGCAGGATAATGCTCCATGTCACAAAGCTCGAATCATTTCAAATTGGTTTCTTGAACATGACAAATGAGTTCACTGTAATAAAATGGCCCCCACAGTCACCAGATCTCAACCCAATAGAGCATCTTTGGGATGTGGTGGAACGGGAGCTTCATGCCCTGGATGTGCATCCCACAAATCTCCATCAACTGCAAGATGCTATCCTATCAATATGGGCCAACATTTCTAAAGAATGCTTTCAGCACCTTGTTGAATCAATGCCACGTAGAATTAAGGCAGTTCTGAAGGTGAAAGGGGGTCAAACACAGTATTAGTATGGTGTTCCTAATAATCCTGTAGGTGAGTGCATATTACATAATACAGATATACTGATTGTGGTGGATATTAAAATATTTTGTGTTGAGGCTGCATTGCCACTAATGTACATAGTGGCTGCAATATAATATATAGACATTTTTATATGTAATTATTTAAAAATTATTACATAATGTAACTTTTCTCTCCAATTTTCTCCTTATTTAGGACATGAATAACTATGTGACCGGTTGGACAGACTGGAACTTGGCCCTTAATCAGCATGGAGGGCCAAATTGGGTTAAGAACTTTGTGGACAGCCCCATTATTGTGGACCCAAGCAAAGATGTCTTCTACAAGCAGCCCACCTTCTACAGCATGGCCCACTTCAGGTTCGACTCATTTAAACTCGGGCAGAATTCAGCTCTTGCACAAAAATGCCATCTAATGTTCAGATTTGGCTCTTAAATGTTGCCAATGCCGTATTTTAATTGCAAACATGGAAGTAGGCACTTGACTTTTTGTGTGTCATATTTGACACAATATTTTCTAAATCTAAATCATATAATCCAAATACGGCATTTTTTGGGTCTCAACTTTTAAGTTTTTGTGCTTTTAAAACTGACAGCAAGTTCGTTTTGGAGGAGTCACAGAGAGTGGGCGTATCCTTCAGTCAACACACTGGCCTGGAAATATCTGCCTATATCAGACCTGATTCCTCAGCAGTGTTCATCATTCTCAACAGGTAAAAGACTGGGATTTCATCATTTACACTCAACTGGTGTTGTTACGTAGCAGTCATTACATGAATTCAGTTTAATATAAAATGTTTCTGAAACTTCAGGTCTGAAGAGGAGGTGCAGTTTGAAGTTTGGGATCAAACTCTGGGCTTTTTACCAGGAAGTGCTTCACCTCACTCCATCCTCACACTACAGTGGAGCAGACGTTGACTGGCTGGGTCAATAACCCACATATATGCACCTTAAAGGGTTAGTTCACCCAAAAATGAAAATTAAGTCATTAATTACTCACCCCCATGCTGTACCAACCCCGTAAGACCTTCGTTCGTCTTCGGAACACAAATGAAGATATTTTTGATTAAATTTGAGAGCTGTATAACTACCACATTGGCTCCTAAGGGACTGCCTCTTGACGGCCCAGAAAGTGAATGAAGAAAATGTTTAAATATCCCAAGTGACTACCGTGGCTCAACTATATGTTTATCAAGCGACGCGAATACTTTTTGTGCGAAAAAACAAACAAAAATAACGAGTTTATTCGACTATTTTTTTCTTCCTTGTAGGCCAGAACGAGACTTCCTTATAGATTTCCACGACGCATGCGCGAGATTTGCGATCTGCGTACACCAGCTTACACCACTTCAGATCGCAATTCTCGCGCATGCGTCGTGGAAATCTATAAGGAAGTCTCGTTCTGGCCTACAAGGAAGAAAAAAACAGTCGAATAAACTCGTTATTTTTGTTTGTTTTTTCGCACAAAGCGGGGTTGGTACAGCATGGGGGTGAGTAATTAATGACTTAATTTTCATTTTTGGGTGAACTAACCCTTTAATGTTAACTCAAATCATGCTTTAAAGCCTTTAACATTTCAAATGACTGCATAAAAAGAAATCATTTCAATAGAGTCAGCATTAATATTAGTATTAGTCAGTAATAGTGATTTATAAGTTTTAGAGGCAATAAAAAGCATGATGTAATTGGGTCATGTTATAGCAAAAAAAAAAAAAAAAACTTCCCTGGAAAAAACTTGATGTATAAAATTTCTTGCACTGAAGATATTATGAATTAAAATGAATCAAACAACTTATCACAGCCTATTTTTTTCTGAGAATACACATGTAAAAAAAATAAATCAATATGAATGTCTGAATGCTTTTGTTGTTTGCCTGTGTCATAGCAAGATCAACATGTTTCCTGTTTTTTTTATTCAGTTTTTTTATTAATACATCGTGGTCATACACATCATATAATATATATTTATATACTTTAATATTTAGCGATTCATTGTCATTTTCATCATCAATGTTTTTTTTGTCTTCCTTAAATGAGTCTTCCAACTAAAATTATTTACATTAGAAAAAAAACTGTAATAGAAATGAGAGTGAAAAGATTTAAATCAAATTAATCTGAATGACATTGATGGGTTTGTGATATATACACACCAGAGATGGAGGGGAGAGAGACAAAACTTCATGATCCCCTGGACAAGTTGAGAAAAGAAAAAGGATGCAAGAACAACGAAAGGCCTGTGGGCCTAAAGCGACGTTTTATCAACCGCAAAGACACGCCACCCCATCCCAAAGAAAATTCACATTGAACGGTAAGAGGCGCTATCTGGGGAGTACAGCTCGTCTCTGGGAAACCAAACACTGTATGATCTAAATGTGGGTTGGGAGTTGTGTTGCTACAGCAACAATATGTGCCCGACCCTACCCTCATCCTGCAATGTTTGTTTGTTCACCCGGGGGAGGAATAAGAAAGGATGAACTGAAGAAAATGCTGTGCAGAAAACTGGAAGGAATCAATATGGGTAAGATATAGATACATTGGCATAGACACAACTCAGAAGGACAGTGTTAGAGAAATAAGTAAATAAACCATAGTAAAAATATACCATCATGGTAGGATGAACACATAAGTATTGACAAAAAGGAAAGACTGACAAACAAGCTTGGGTTAAGACAGAGCTCAGATGAGACGGGCGGAAGTGTGTGTGTGTGTGTTTCAGAAGGACCATCTCTCTGGTGTGCGAGGATCAGTGTTTAAGGAGGAAGGCTCTGACGAGGACTGAGTGCCACTTTCATCCCCATTCAGGCTCTTCCTGCACACAGGACACGTGTCGTGCTTCAGGGAGGAAGAAGAGAGAAGGGTATGTCAGTGATTATTAGTAATAAACAAATGGAAGCTCTCAAGTGAAAAAAACTTTATTCCAACAGAGTCTGACGTTAGATTGGATCTAATAATCAAATTAGATTTGTTATTAATAGCATTTAAAGCAGGAGGTTTTACATCCAATCTCATTAAGTGAAGTGGTAATAAATAAATCAGACAATGCACCAGTTATTTAGCAAGATCCCCAACTTGTGGTCTTGACTGGTCATGAAATTAAATCCTGAGTCCTCTTAGTCTGAGACTGAGACAGGAACGAGTACAAATGAAGTCGAGACCAGTCTCTTAATACAAAACTATTCAAATGTTTTAATTCTATTTATCAGATCATTGTACACAACATAAACTGCTTTCCAGAAAACTCTGTGCTTGCTAGGTATCTAGGAACATTTCCATAACCGCATCATTTGTTTACCTACTTCAAAAGATTCTCATATCTAAATTCTTTCCTGAACTCTTTCCTATGTCTTTTCCTCATTCTCTCCCTTGTTTTGTCCTGTTCCTTCCTCTCTATTGTTTCTCTCACCAGTTCAAGCCAGGGCACGATGCAGTCACTATGGAAGAAGTGGTTACAGGGCAGCTGCCGGACCGGCTCACCGACCGTATAGTCTTCCTTACATACAGGGCACTCCATATTGCAGTCTAATAAAGACAAGAAGAAGGAGAGAGAGAGAATAATGAGATTTCGCTAGACGAGCGTTGCCTTAAATAGGAGTTATAATTCATCACCACACAAGGCTCATACTGGTAGGTCAATGACCCCCACGGAGTCTGTGAGCCTTAAATCATCATAACTGACACAGTGTTCCTCCTCAAAGATCAGGGGCCTCATTTATAACCATTGCACACACAAAACAGGCCCCGAAAGAGGCGTACGCCACTTCCGACGCATAAGTTGTGATTTATAAAAACAAACTTGATGACAAAATGTGCACACTTTGCAAGCAAACTCTGACCCATGCATATGAACGTTTTGGAGATGGAGCAGTTTGGCGACCCTGATGGTGAGCTGGAGTTAAATGTCTTTTTCGTCACTTTTAGATAGAAAATCTAAAGAAACTTATACTTCTACAGAAAGATAATACAAATATAATTTCACTCACCAAGCTGATTATTTGAAGCGAGCGCGTTGGGCAGTTTAGTGAAACTGACATATATATATATATAGTAGCCTAGAAATCGAGACGTACCCTAGCGGCAGCAAAAAATATTTCACAGCCAGTGTGGTCTAGCAACTCTCCATAGACGTTTTTAGCTGGAAAAACCAAACTCTGGTCAGGCCAATCACATCGTGTATAGAGTCGGCGGGCGGGCTAAACATAATGACGACAGAGTTGCGACGGTTCACTGCTACTTGAAAACAAAGAATGGCTGCTGCTGGCGAACAGCTCTTTCGATTCGGCTTTGAACGGCACTCCATTAATTTTTTGCCGACTGGATACGGTAAAAGTTTAACATATCAACTTCACCGCCGGTGGGAAAACGCATGGGAATCAGCCGCCACCTTCGTCGTTGCCCTGATTGGTTGTAACACTATCCAATTGCGTGCAAAGACAACCGTTTATCCCGCCCCTCGGATTGAGCCCTGTCAATGATGAGTTCCCAGACCTAACTTCTTGATGAGGTCTGGCATGCCAGGCTACATATATAGCCTATCTAACAGCAGATGAAGTAAAACCATAAACCTTCAGTACGAGTCCTCATCATAAAAACAGTGCATGTTCACAATAACAGTTTAAATAAAGAATTATTTAAACTATGTTTTACTTCTGATATAAATATTTAGATTAAATATGCCATTCTTATAATGGAGTTTAACACTTGAACTAAATGAAATCAAGTAATATTTGTTGTGGATTCAATGCATTTGAACACTTTTAATGTCATAGTTTAAATACAGAGTCATAATTTAACTACAGAGATAATTTTTTATGATAATAGCAGATTGTCAGAGAAAGTAGTTTAGTGGAAATAATGCACAACACGGTCTACCTGTTTCCATTAAAAATATAAATCAATTAAAAATAAATAAAGGCAAGGATAGGCTACTAAATGATTTTTTATTAATGTAATGTGACGGCACATCGATATTTCCTATTTTCCTAATGTCTTGTTGTACTGTTAATTGTGGTATAACGTGGATGAATAACCATGTGCAAATGGTATGCAGATGAGGATAAAACTAGGCATTGTAAGCTCCATATATGGTTATTTCGGGAAGGAGACGCATGTGAGCACAATCTTCTGCTGTCTGGGATTTATAAAGTTCTGGAATACGTACGCACGCTTTTATAAGTCTGAATATTTTTTTTTACGTACGCCATTTTTAGTAAGGATCCTACACACAGTTTTATAAACGAGACCCCTGAAGAGAAAAACGACGAGTTTCAAAGAAAACCAAAGGGAAGAGAGAGGAGAGACTAACCAGTGTGTTCCTGAGTGATGATAACAGTGGGGAGGGAGGAAATTTTCTCTTTCTCAGCAGGAGGAGGACCAGTGTTCTCGAACTGACCCAGTAACTGAGTGAGAGAGACACAGAGATGTTCAGCTTGTTTGCACCGAGGCACGGATCATGTAACATGCACACGCATCATCCTGCTCAACTACCTGTGTGATGACTGCATCCAGACCTCCCTGTCCCCAGGCGTAGTCCCCGGGATTTGAGTGCAGCATGCCCGTCCTAACACACACAATCATCAAGATTACCAGCTTTACCAAATTTAAACTGAGATTAGAGAACACTTTGTTACAAAAAAAAAAATGCAATTCCACTATAAAAGCTAATTTACTTATATAGAAAGTAAGTCAATAAAATTAAAATATATTATGCATACACACACACACACAGTACACCAAGATGACCGGCTTTGCCATATTTAAACTGAATGAAAATGTTTTCTTTACCATGACAGCGGAGGAGAACCTGGTACTCCTGAATTGGCAAAAAGGCCTGCGAGAAACTGCTGTACTATTCTAGAAGTAGAGAAGAGAGATAATTGAGAAACTGATATTAGTACTGGGGAATTCTGCCAACTTCCTTATTTTTTTTATTTTCTTGCTGACATAAATAATGAGCTGTTATAATCAGTCAGCTGACTTGCATACATTACATGTAAATATTGCCAGTAACATTTTTTTTTTAAAGTAGCACTACATATATTGTTGAACAAAACAGTATGTCCTCACTGGGACATAAACCATTTGTAATATTATGGTGGACCTCATGTTTTTGGTCTATTACCAGTAGTGTTTATTTTTTATTTACCTATCATTATGCCTATATCCAGTTTGCCAAGTTGAATTCATTTGATTTTAAAGAAATCTAAATATTCTGTCATTTAGAAATGACACTATCAAATAGCCTATAAATATTGTATAAATTGTAATTAAATGCACTTTATTTTATTTCAACTAGTGTTTTTTCTTCATGTTCATGATAGAGTTTGTTTTATCATGGCATTAAAAAAAGCATATTGTGTGCCTGTCTTCAAGCATGTAGATTGGAGATAAAATTGTAATGTGTGTGTGTTTGAGTAAATGTGTGTATATACAGTATCTCATGAATGTAAGTACACCCCTCACATTTCAGCAAACATTTTACTATCTTCTCAAGGGACAATACTATAATAAAACTTGTATATAGACTAGTCAATGTGCTGCTTCTATAGCATTATATATATTTATTTACTGTCCACTGAAAGTTCAACATGGTACCTCATGGCAAATAACTCTCTAAGTATTTGAGAATTAGAATTGTTGCTCTCCACAAAGATGACCTAGGTTATAAAAAGTTTGGTAACACCCTGAAACTGAGCTACAGTACAGGCCAGGGTCATACAGAGGTTTTCCTGAACGGGTTCCACTCGGAATAGGCCTCGCAAAGGTCAATAAAACGAGTCCTCGTGCTGTGCGTCACCACAACAAGTCGTTTTGCAATGGCCGTCGTCCCAGAAGGAAGCCTCTTCTGAAGCTGGCTCACAAGAAAGGCCGCAAACAGTTTGATGAAAAGCAACCTGTTCAAGAGCATGAATTACTGGAAACATGTAAGATAAGATAATTTGGCTCAGACGGTGTCCAGAATGTTTGCAGACGCCCTGGTAAGGAGTACCAAGAAAACAGTGTCTTGGCTACAGTCGAGCATGGTGGTGGTAGCATGATGGTCTGGGACTGCATGCTGCCACTGGGGAGCTGTGCTTTATTGAGGGAAACATGGATTCCAACATGTACTGCGACATGATGCCCTCCCTTCAGAAACTGGGCCGAATGTCATGATAACGACCCCAAACATACTGCCAAGATGACAACTTCCTTGCTGAGGAAGGTGAAGGTGATGGAGTGTGTCTAACAGCCAGCAGCTCTGTGATGTCATTATGGAGGAGTGTAAGAGGATCCCAGCAACAACCTGTGCAGCTCTGGTGAACTCCATGCCCAGGAGGATTAAGGCAATGCTAGATAACAATGGTGCTCCCACAAAATATTGACATGTTCACTTAGGGTGTACTCAATTTTGTTGCCAGCTATTTTGACAATAATGCCTGTATGTTGAGTTATTTTCAGAGGACAGAAAATATATATAAATATATATATATAATGCTATACAAGCAGCACATTGACTACTCTAAAATCTATCCAAGTTTCTGCATATTTATGCATCATTGTACTTGCAAACAAAATGAATCTATATTCCTCAAAATGCATAATAACAGCTTGATTAATCTGCAAACTGTCAGCTAGATAAGCACTATCCACTGTATTGGATATAATTTGGTCTTCATGAAGCAAGCCGTCTATTCATGCTGTTCGAATTAGTTAAAACGCAAAAGAAAAACTATGATAGATAAAAGTGCAGCCTGCAAAAAATTTAAGAGAATGAAAACACATCCACCGATTTAAAAACTAAGATATATAACTTACCCCTCGACAGCGGGAGAGCGATCCGGTCGACTGCTTCCTCTGGATCGGAACCTCCTCTGAGTGTGCAGGCGAGGAGGACGACCGGGACCCCAGTGCTCTGCTACACTTAGAGGGCCACCCAGAGTCCCACTAAGCCCACCTGGGACAGAACCGCCGAACGGTCCGGCTCCGAGACTCCCAGAGCCACTACCCCCTCCAGGGACCCGCTCAGAGTCAGGACTTTCTAGATCCAGACTGAACGGCCTCTCCACGAACAACAGCTGCCATAGCTACAGAAAAAGAGCGAGTGAAAGAGATAGTTATGAATGAGCTGTACAATGTACCTCTTCAAACGTATCCAAAAACTCCTTATCAACAGCTACACAAGACAGGGAAGATGTTGTGGAAGGAAGGGGTCCACATACCTCAGCAAACTGTGAAGCTGTGTCATCAAGACTATTTGAACTACTGTCCAGAAGACTGAGGAGTAAACAATCACATTCATGTCAGACCTGGCTACTGGGATAGCCAGGGAACATATTGCTGTTTCATGGAACTTGGCAACATAAACTGCAGTACAGCTGATTGTCACAGTGAGGGAGTCGTCGTTCTAAACCAGTGCTTCTCAATCCGGAAATGCACATTTTGGATGTCTCACCCATTTGAGGACTGCGTCAGAAGCTGCCTTGCTATTCCACAGTGGCCAGACAGTCAATGACAAAAGCATTTTTAGGATAAACGCAGCTGCTAAGTAAACTGGTCTTTTTTGTGAGCTTTAGTTATGACTAGTAACCAATCAAATATTAAATGACTGTAATGTTTTTAAATCGCTGCACAGCTGAACTACACAAACAGGACTGTGGAATATCACAGGCATCTATGTAGCCTTTAAAAGCTGACCAGTACATGATCCCCACTATGCAAAAAGCAGTATATAAAACGTGAATCAAGAACAATACCCAAATAACCTACTGCATCAGCTGACATTGTCGATAATCGATATAATCGATTTTATAAATCTAGTTTAAAACTCATGTTCCAAGTTCTTAGAAATTAACTTATTGTATCAATATGATGGTTTCAAAAAAACCTTTATTCAATTTCCAAGTTACAATTGAGTGACCCTACAGTGTTTTGTGGTGTCACCATTAAGAAAAGTAAAAACAAAAGGTCTTTACATCTTGAACACATGTAAATCTACACAGTACTACACACCCTATTTTTTAAAGCAAATAAAGCAAATTTTAAAGCAAATTTTTTAAAGCATCATGAATTATTAAATCAGAAACATTATTACTTATACCATGGTCTGTCTGAATGGCTGGAAGGTGTGCATTAAAACCGTTTAATCCACAGGTAGTTTCACTCCGTTCTATATTAATGTGCGGTTTTCACTGAAGCACGCACAAACACACCACTCTCATACATGCACAAACAAACACCACTGATTTTACAAAGAAATAAAACTGAATCACTAAATTATATTTCTCAGCAAAAAAAGATAGTTTTGGAGTAATTGAACTCACAGCTACATTGTTACTAGACAGAGATGCTGCACACACACACACAAAGGTAATTCACAAAGGAATCTCATCTCTCTCTCTTTCCCTTGATAATTAATTCAAATAAATGCTATAAATTCATTCATTCAGATAAATGTAGGCTAATCTTAAAGCAAAACCATGTATCTGTGTCTTACTGAAAGCAGACAGAATGCTAGATCTAATGAGCTGTGACAACCCTTCCAGTCAAATATTGCACAGTGAACAACATCAATAACAGCTTTAAGTTGTCAATACTGTCAAATGACCATGGAATATGCTGGATAATCCACGGCAAGCAGTGCATTAAACGATATGAATCGCTTCACAACAGGTGGTTCTTTACCTTCACGCCATGGCATTAAAACAGTTAAATTGCACAGCTAGCCGTGGATTATCCCTTGCTTATTAAATTTGATTTTGGGAGGGTTGTAGCACATGACATTTCACAACTTGAACTAACCTTGTCATGTAAGAAAATGGTCAAATTATGTAATATTTTAGGATACTTTTTGACCTTGACACACAGTCATGAGGGTCGGCAGGGTCTATGTTAGATATTATTTTATATTTTTTTCCATGCACATCAGTTGCACCACATGACTTTCATTCAGTTTTTCAAATATTTAAAGTGTCAACCAAAAAAATTCCATTGCTTATGCTTCTATGAAATAATAAAAGATTACACCAAACTATTTAATACGTTTATTCAAATTATTGTAGGCGTTTTTGCCATTTTTTAAAGTTTCGCATTTTTATTGTATTTTCAAATAAATTAATATAGATTGGTTCATTAACTAACCTAAGTGCTGTGGGCACTTAGTTATATGAAATTACTTGCTGAATACAACTCAAGCTAATTATTTTCATGGTTGCTGTTAGTACATCATAAGCAAAAGAACAGAGTCAGTGGATGATTGCGACATGAGATATGTGGTATGTCCAGCAATGTCTCTTTTAGCAATGTTAAAGAGGTTCTGATATTTAGTGCATACTGTTAAAAAAGGACATGATTTTGTACACAGCACATGTCTACTTAAGACCTAATCATATAAATAAATTGTATTAATAAAGGAGATCCACAATGTGCAACGCAGCAGTAATCTAAGACCAGGATTGAGAACCACTGATCTAAAACCTTTCCCCAATAAATTCCAATATAATACAAATTAAACTTAAACTGAGCTGGAATTAAAAGCAATTAACTCATATCATTGATGTTATGCTGGCAGAATGGTGACACAAACTATGAATGATCATATGCTTGATGTATCAATAACATTTTTTTTTAAAAATAAACAACATCACCGTTTGGTGGTGCTATGAATCAGGTGATACAATAGACGTATCTACACCAGAAGACACTGAAAGAGCCGCCATGGTAAACAGTGCAGGAGTTACAACATGCCATAAGAGACAACGAATGAGGAAGTGCAGCCATTGAAAAACTCACCTGGAATCCTCTGTAACCTCCTCGATGAATCCCGAGTCACATCTGGGACAGATATACTCCTAAATGCAAGCAGAATCAGAATCAGAATACAGAAAAATCACACTGTTGACCTCAACACTGTAAATAAACAAAGGGATAGCTGTGGTTTTGTGAGGACACGCACATTTGCATAGCACTACAACACACATTTATTTGAATTTTGAAGCAAATAGACCTGCATAATGAGAGACACTCCCTGTAATGCGTGTCATAACAATCGCTGTCTGATTCAAAGGGGTGCTTCCCTATTTTTTCTCTGATTTAAAGAGGTCAAGACATGTCATCCTGTGGGTCTCCAACAAAAGGAGGACAATGGCTCCTTATCTTGACATGCAGTACAACTCAGAACACTGTTCAGACTCATTCACACTATATACATTAAGAAGATCATAGAATCAAGAATCATAACAGGTTCATGCAGTTGTGATTCACCTTCTGAGTACAGTAAGTGTATTGGACAGTAAACAAGGGATTACACACAACTCATCCTCATTGATTTACTGACACACTGACCGAAAAGTGCTGAAATTGAACAGTCATTGACAGTTCAGTTATTCTGCGACATTATAAATAAGTTAAGTAAAACAGAAACAGAAACATTTCATATTCCAGTTTCGCTTTTGATAAGAGTACATTTAAAGATATTTTGTAAACATTTCTGAACAGTAACGGCATGAACGGAAGTTGAACACTTGTTAAAGTCTAATATGTATTAAAAAGTCATTATTTAAACGAAAGCTGTTACAATACCAACAAAAAGACAAGACATGAGTGTAGCATTTGTGTTGAAGACAACACGTTAGTTTTCTCATTGAGTAACTGTCACGAGCACCAGTATTACGTTTAGTAATGCTGGTTATCGATAACGTTAAATACTTATTTTTGTAGTGTTGTTACAACAACAAACAACAAGCAATGGCAGGCCCTTCGCCTACATCAGGTTGATACACTGCTAACATGCTAACTTTAGCACAACAGCGAAACCTGCCAGAGCGACAACGGCACTACAGAATCCCACTTAACGTTAGATGAACTGACTGTGTGTTACAGGCGACACGGACTCACCGGCAGTTTGGGGCTCACTTCACCTTTACAACAGTGACAGAAGAAGCGATGCAGAGGGACCGCCGCAGCCTCCGCCATGTTTTCCGTGAGACTGTCTGTGTCCCAAACAGCAGCAGCGCTGACCGTCGGTCCGCCCACTGCAGAGGGAGGCGCTCTGACATCAGCATTCAGTTTAACGAGTCGATTCACTCGGGCGGTTCGTTTATGAACTGTTACAGTGAAACAATGTAAATTTAAAATAAAATAAAAGTTGAAATAACGAGAGTGATTTATTAGCAATAATGATTATTACAATATGAAATAAAAAAAAAATCCATCCATAATATTCATGAACTATCATTAGTATTTGCGCCAGAATATTCATCTTTTTTCTAGCAAAATATATATTTTAAACACTTCTGTATATTATTGTGCTTATGTTCCCTGTTTATCATGTATCTAATTGTTTTACTTTCAAAATATTTTTTTATAGTCGAGTGATTCACATTCGGTTCTTCTGAATCATTAGAAAGAATCGGTTCATATCAACGATTTGTTCACAAATCACTCGAGTGCCACATGATCACACCACGGAAATTCGTCAGTGCTGATCATTACACACCGCCCGAACAACACATGTGAGAATAAACTCATCTTAACTCTAAAAACGTACAGCTACATACTTTTTAGAGGTAGGCTCATTTTTATGTATGACTGTCTTTTTGTACATTATTAGGCCAATTTTACGTGAGACGTATGAATTGTAGAAAGCCCAGAAAGCAATAACTAACGCTGCGTTCATGTGTTAGTTTTTGTAGTTAATGCGAATCACTCATAACTTATATGATTATTCCTGTATTGTGGACATGATGCTCTTTTAGTGCTTTCAATATGCCACCATTACTTAACAAGTCTATTAAATTAAAGTCCACTTGGTCAGACGACCTGACTAAATGTTAATGTGTTTTTTTTTCATGTGTTTGTGGTAATTACATGTAAAACAAGTTGTAAGAGTATCAATCATATTTATATTTTAGGATTATGGTTGTAATAATAGGTGTTGTAAGGCACTATTGTATTTTGTTTTAAACCAAGGTATGTGTTATTATTCATCACTGAGTGACTGATTTAAAGTTAGTAATAAAATGAACCACAACGTATCACATTGTAAACATAATAAAAAGTGACATTTGCATTTTACACTCCAAGGCTTATGCACAGATCATTTGACACACTGTATTAGATTTTAGTAATATGGATAGGGTTAAAACCACTATTATATTGACAGATAAAACATATGTTTTGCTGGTCAAAAAAACTTGATTGTTGTTCCTCTCTTTCCTCAAGATGACAACACAGGAGGTGCGTTTGTGTGGACTGCTACTGCAGGAGCACTTTGGAGATGTGGTGGAGAAAGTGGGCACTCATCTCAACCGCAGTGGAGTTCTGAACTTGCGAGCTCTTGCTCATGAGACCAAACTTGGTCTTGACCTGGTAATGGCTTGTTCTTGGGTGTCTCTTTTATCATCACATACCATTCTTCTCCATCTTGTTCACATTCTCTCTGTCTTCATTTTCCCTCTTTAACATACACTCCTCCTGGTAGGTCAAGAAATCTCTGTGTGTGCTGGTGCAGCATGGGATGTGCACATTTGGTGCAGGGCGTCGTGGTCCAGCGGGACCTGTGGAATATCGCATCAGCTGTGAGCGCATCATTCACATGCTTCGTTATCCACGCTACATCTACACTGCCAAGAGTCTTTATGGGGACACAGGCGAGCTCATTGTTGAGGAGATACTGCAGAGAGGCCAGATGACAATGAGCAGCACAGTCAAGACTGTCGCAGACAGGCTGACTCACAATATGCCAGGTAAGAACACAAGCAGACTGAAGGGCTGATTCATAGATATAACAGGATTTGAGAAAAATAGACCTTTTGGCTTAAAGTATATGTAAACTCAAAGGTATTTGACATAAAAGCGTAAACCGGCCCCGACTGGGCCAGTAAAAAAAAAACCTTAGCGTTGAACCATAGCTAAATGTGACATTAATTACAATGAATTTATGTGAAGTTTGTTTTTAAGTTGAAAAAAAAACTGATTATATATTTTTAAAGCCTATTTAATGTTAAGATTGATAGCTTTCAATAATACTGTATTGTTGAATGGCTATCATTAATGGCTAAAATTTAGGAAAACAATCCATTTAATAGAGACTGGCATTCATTCATAGTGCTTAGTATAAAGATGGTATTGTACAAAAATGGAAATGTCTTTTGGTTTCAAAAATGTTAACTGATTTTTTAAAAAAGTTTCAGAAATGTAGGATGTTTATCAAACATGGAGAACTATAGTGCTTCTTATTCCATTATTAAGTCAATGTTTAAATTGGTGTTTAATTGACATGTTACTTTTAATAATTGTACTATAACATTCAATATAACAATAATAGTAGTCATTAATACTATATTATAAGAATATTCAAGTTGGAAGGGTTACACATAAATTATTCTTGAAAAGTAGATAAAGACCAGAAATATATCTGAGACTATATTCAACACATGTGATCTTTTTGGCCACTTCAAAGTGTCTGAGTTTGGATCTTGTAGAATGGACCAGATGAAGATAACAAAAAAGGTTTAATTAAAATAGCATCTCTGAAATATGTTTCATGCTCAACTGATAGTCTTTTGTCTTGAGAATGATTTCCATTTGAAACGTAACTATTTAAACTTTTTTTTTGTACCAGAGGGTCAGAGTATGGACTACAGTGAGGTTGTCTCTGCATTTTCCCAGTTGGTGGAGACTCATTTCCTTCAGCGCTGTCCTCCTGTGGCCTCAGCAGGACCATCAAACTCAGAAGTGGTTGACCCTCCTCCTCCTCCTCCTCCAGCTGTAACACCCTCTGAACCAGAGAAGCACCCAGACTGCTACAGAGTACCCTACATCAATCTCACCGGTCAGTTTTAAAGCACTTATCGCATTCTTAAAAAAACCTTTTAGTGGTCAACCCATATGGTGTATATACAGTGCCAGTCAAATGTTTAGCTAATTCAATAAAGGTTTAAAATTATATTGGTAGAACGATTATGTTGTGGGCTGGGGGATGGTGATATAAGGAATATTTATGTATTTTACATGATTATATATTATGGCTGTCAATTCAATACTGTTTTTAATTGCAATTAAGCTTTTATCTTGTTTAACACATTCATTGAGTCATAATTTTCTATATCCATCAAAGTAAACCATCAGATTGAAAGGTGATTCTCTCAAAACTGTATTTTCCGCCAGATTGTTCAATGTAAATGTAGGTGTCTTTTCAAAAAAGGACACTTGGAGACTTTAAAAGGGCACCATATTAACAAATGATATAAGGAGTCCAATTCACACCACTCATGAAGCAAAAAACATTACAGGATATTTTTTTTTTTTTAGAATTAACAGTGTTTGTTAATATGTATGTGTACAGTGCAACAGCAAAGAGCTTGTTCACATTTTGGACAAGTCAGGTTGCAAATCTAAACAGGACCACATTGAAAAAAACCCCTAAACTGACTGCCTTGGCCTGACTGCATTATACAGAACAATAGATCCATTCAGTATTACTAAACACAGCAACATACTTACATCACCGCAATCGTCTTTAACTTGATTGTAATCCTTAATCAAAAAACTTTACTTGCGAGACGCTGGTTTGCATTATCTAGCCGAGAAACTTAGTTTGTATATCATCTGACCATACAGCGATGGGATGTTGTGATGTTTGGTTTAGTCTGTATTTCACACAGCACAATGCGTGAGAGCTCATAAAATCACAGAATATGACAGAGCACATGTTTTAAAGCTATGCGAGTCTCTATTCTCTCTGCCATCTCTGATGTAATCAGCCTGGTTTTCTTTACATTAGTGCTGTTTTGGACTGATTGTTGAATGTATTCACCTACTGGATCATTGGACTGAAAAATTTCCCTCCCAGAGTTTAGCAGCTTAAAATCATCTGATCGCAAACAGAGAAGTGAAATCAGGTAAAAGGTTAGAATATAAATAGATGCTCAGTCAGTATGATAAACTCCCGAGTCCTGCCTTCTGAGATCATCTAGCTCTGTGACGTAAATTACGTTAAAGAAGCAAAATTTTTCACTCACTATTTTCATTTTATAAAAAAAATAAAAGCAAATTTTTGGGGGGCACCAAATGGCATATTGCTAGATTATATTTTCTCAGCTAGAAATATTTAAACACATTGAGACTAAAATTTAAGAGGTTAAATTGTGTGTTCATCCAGGTAAAGGAAAACGCAGACGCTCAAGTGAGGATGGGGAAGCTGACCAGCGTGCAGCAAAAAAAGCCAAAACAGACAACAATGAGGTATTGATTGAGATGACATCACACATGACTTTTTCATTAGTTGAGTTTTTCATGTTACATCTGTTTGTATCTCTCTTTCTCCAGTGTGGGGATGAAGGGATCTTTTGGCAGGTGAATTTTGAACGCTTTCACTTGCACTTCAGGGATCAGGCCATCATTAATGCTGTTTCCTGTAAACTTGATCAGGTGACTATAAACACGTGAGATATAATTAGGCTGTGGACTGAATATTCTTTCACTGGTGAATCTGAGACAGAACGTTCTAGATTCTCACATTTAGGCTTTCTCCTCAAGGGAAATAATAAGTCGGTTGAATGTAGGTCTTTATCGTCTAAATTTCTTTCTCCCTCTCCCCTGTAGACTAGCAGTGAGATAGTTAGAACCATGTTACGGATGAGTGAAGTTACAACGTCAGCTAACGCTGCTTTCACACAAGCTCTTTCAGCAAACGAGGTAATAATGGATGAACATGCACATTTTTGTTTTCTTAGAGCCCTTACTGAGAACTTTCAGATTGTCATGAAGTGTGATCAAAGCCTTATTGTTTCCCATCAGATTTTCCGAGCTCTTCCATCCAATTACAACATCGCCAGGCCAATTTTAGACCAATACCTCACTCTCCTGGTTGACGATCCGGTAATGCAATACATACACAAATACACAACTTCTTTATATTTTCTATTTATCCAAGAATTAAATTACTTAAATAGCTTTGCTTTTTCTCTTAGATGGAATTTGTGGGGAAGGCAGGTGACAGTGGAGGAGGAATGTATGTCGTCAGTATCCCTTTAAAACACCACCCGAAAGACAAAAGGAAGCTAAATGCAAATCATTTTAATTTTAATTTATTTATTTACTCTACCATTCAAAATTGTGGGGGTCAGTAAGAAAATAATACTTTTATCCAGCAAGTACACATTAAATTAATCAAAAGTGACAGTAAATACATTTATAATGTAAAGATTACTATTTTAAATAAATGCTGTTCTCTTTAACTTTATATTTATCAAAGAACCCTGAAAGCAATGTATCAGTTTCTGCAAAGAAATTAAGCAGCACAACTGTTTTTAACATTGAATCTGAAATGTTTCTTGAGCAGCAAATCAGCACACTAATGATTTCTAAAGAATCTTGTGGCACTGAAGATGAACTAATGATGATGAAAATTCAGTTGAACCATCTTAGTAATAAATCACATTTTAAAAATATATTAAAATAATAAAAAAAAACAGTTATTCGAAATTGTAACAAAATAAGTGCAGCCTTGGTGAGCTACAGAAACATTTGAAAAAATATTAACAAACCGAAACTTCTGATTGGTATATATCTAATAATCTTTTAACAAAATAGTAGAAATCTTGTAATGGCTTGGTTGACCCTTGACCCTGTGGTCAGATCTACACCGTGCACTGGCTAACCTGGCCAGAGCTACCCTGGAGTCTGTGGTCCAAGAGAGGTTAGTAGACTTGTAGTGTTTTAGCTTGCTGAAATCTTCTTTTGGTTTTGTTCTTAGATTCTTTGCTTTACGTCAGGTTTGGTTCTCGTTCAGCACGCATCTTTCGTCTGTTACTGCGGAAAAGACACCTAGAACAGAAGCAGGTGGAGGATTTTGCCATGATTCCAGCCAAAGAGGCCAAAGACATGCTGTACACACTCCTATCTGAGAACTTGGTCCAGCTACAGGTAACACACTCACAGGTCTTGTTTAGATATATATACAGTACTGTGCAGAAGTGGTTTTAAGCCAGTTATTTATATATTTTGTTGTAGTGTCTCAGTAGGAAATATCAGTTTACATTTTCAGACATTAATTGTGCCATTAATTATAATAATCCAGTGAAATTTTTGAATGCACACGGATTCTGACAACAGCCAATGCTCCACACGGAGGTCGGATCTCACCATCATCGAGTGCATCTGAAATTATATGAAGAAACAGAAAAAACAGAGACTAATTTAGACCAGAAGAACTGCGGCACAGAACTTTACTTTTGTTTACATACTATGCAGTAGGAAAATAAACATTTGAACACAGTGACTATTTCTAACAAATCTACTTTAAAAAAAAAAAAATGGTGTAATTATTGACACCACTAATACAAAATTTAATTTAAAAAAGTCAATGTTCGAAGTTATGAATGGATGGTTGTTTTCATTTAAAGCTACATTTAACCACCTTGTTTTAGCACAGTTCTTGGCTGTTGTCTGGGATGCTTCTGGACATATTTGCATTTACAGTACAATGCGATTTATTCATGTTTTTCTGACTACCCCAGAAAGTATTTTGAGTGATCACAAAACATTTTGGACACTATTTACAACTCTTAAAGCACTGTCCACTTGTGATTGGACCATCTGAAATGGATGTTAGTACTAAGTGTAAACATGGTCTTTTTTTATCACGATCAGGCTTCATATCACTCTTTGTGTATTGTGTGTGAAGGAAATTCCCAAAACGCCAGACCACGCCCCTTCTCGGACCTTCTACCTGTACACCGTTAATCAGCTGCCCACCGCCAGACTGCTGCTGCAACACTGCTACAAGGTACAGAGCTCACATGAGCATCCCTTTAAAATGCTTTTTTATAATATTTTGAGATATATGTATATGTGCACACCATACAGACAGTTGGGAACCTGATCGAGAGGCGGCTGTACGAGACCAAAGAGAACAAGCAAGTCCCTCCTTTTTTGACAATACGAAACATTTCATCTAAGTAGCAGTCGAACGGATTATGTCATTAATCCGTTCATTGTTTTTGACAGGCGACTTTTGGAAAAGTCTCAGCGAATTGAGGCCATCCTGGCATCCTTGCAGGCCACAGGGGCGGAGACGACACAACTGACGGAGGTGGAGGAGATGATCACAGCTCCAGAAAGACAGCAGCTTGAGTCCCTGCGACACCACATTAACAAGTACTACACAGACCAGTTACTCTCTACACATGTGATTCATGTTCAGCCAATCATTGATCTCATTTCTTCTCTCTGTGCTCATGGGGGCAGGTTGGATTCCAGTGAAAACCAGGTGGATGAGACCATATTTCTTCTGGAATCCTACATTACCTCTACACAGGCCTCTCATTGAGTTAGTAGGCTCTCTGGAGGCTAGTTCAAGAAGACATACTGATCGATGTTGGTGTGAAAAGAGGTGGATAAAGAAGAGTAAATGCAGCTATTATTTTGAGATTTGACAGATGTTTCATTTGCAACAAGGACTTATTTGTATTTAACAGTGTGTGTGTTTTGTGGAGCTGTGAATGCAATTTTATTTCTGTTTTCAATGGGGAAAATAAAGATGGAATTCCTTTTATAATGGTTTACACATTTTTATTTAATAATTTGTCAAAAAATGAAAAACAATTTTCAAACCTGTGTATTGTCCATGTATTGTCTGAAACACTGATTTTTTTATGTTAAGGAAACAAAAATTAAATAAACTGATTGTTGTATTATGGTGTATGTGATTTCACCAAATACAATATGTTTCTGGATCAATGTCTTTGATCCTGGAACTTCATTCCAATCAACCAGTCAGATTTGAGGGACAAGTTTAAAGTTTGTCAAGTTTAGACTTACAACCATTGTTAGGTGCTTCTACTGTGTTATTCACCTGTCCTTTCCCTCTGATTTTAGGAATAACTTATGAGTAGGTTTAGGTTTAGGACTACATTTTCAGACAGAAATGTTGCAGGATCAACAAAACATGGTAATCCAGGAACATGTCATGGCAAAATCACGGTGAGCCTGGTCTTCAATGTCCAGATGATTTCAACTTAAATACACATTTCATTATTTTTTTTTACAAATAGTGCATTTGCTTGTTTTGCGGTCCGTCAATGCAATAGTAAATGATCTGTCTCTGTGAAGCCAAAGAATCTCCCAGATAACCGATATGCTGGGATTCATGTGTTGTTTTTGCCACAATAGAATCCAAATAAAACGTTAGGTGTGAGACCCTATGACCCGGCAGAGTGTGAAAGTGAATAATAGATTCAACTGAACCGCAAGAACTGTCTTTCATCAAGTTTTATGCATCCTGCACCCCTTTGCATGTTTATTTATTATGTTGGCACATTTGTTTAGTGCTCTCAGCTCCATGTAAAATATTTAATTCGGTTTAAATCCATTCTGCAGATTTCCCCCCAAAATCAGAGCACTTCCAGTTGGACTTGATAATGGATGGTTTGGTGGTCCTGGAGCAGAGGTGTCATGTCTCAAAGGGGAAGTAATGGCTGAAAAAGGCATAATTCCTTCTTGTAAAGTAAACTCTGTTCAATCTCTGCTGCAATGTCAGTTGTCATCGTTCTCATCCTCGTCCTTCCTCTGTTTCCTTGTGAAAAACCCCATCTGTGAAGAAACATACATTCAACATGTTGGTTAAGACTGCAGAGTGCTAGTATTTAGTATATAGAAAGTGTTATTTCAGTGTTTTGAGTACTAATTCACTTCAGATGTAACCACTCTGCTGTACACATGCTTGTTTAAAGCTGTTGTGTTCTGTACCTTCCAAAGAATGAATACTAAGAGTGCAAGAAGCAGCAGTCCTCCAATTATGCTGCCAATCAGAATCCAGAGAGAAATCGGGATCGAACGCCCCTTCAGCACTTCCAAAACTGTCTATACACACAGAAACAGAGCATGCAAGAGTGTTTACAGGTGCAAGTTAGTGGAGTTTAGGATTTACATTTTTTTGTCAAGTTGAAAAAACAACTTATACTATAGAAATTACATTAATAATGTGCAAACATGATTGTATGTACAGTGGGCTTCTAAAAGGTTAAATAAAAAAAATAAAACCCAGAAATAAAGCTAGTATTAAAAAAAAAAAAAAAATCAGGTCAATATCAAAATTTGTGATCGTGAATTGTTTTAAATTAAATTTTTGACTTTAATTGTCATGCAGGCCGTATAATTTGGATTGAAAAAAAGTAAAACAGAAACATTTCACTTTCGGACCCTCTTGATTTCTATGCTTTTGATTATTATAATTTTCTAAAATGTGCAAGCTACTAGATTGATTAAATTAGGGTGACCAAACATCCTGTTTTACCAGGACATTGTCCTGTTTTCATGTCCTGTCCTGACTCCTGGCTGTCCTGGCAGTTTTTATATATATATGAAGAGTTCAGATGCAAAAGCCTCTAAATGCCATTTGAAATTTTCTTCTTTAATGATGATTTTTATCAAACTTGCATATTTAAGTTCAGTAATTTCACTTAAATAACAATTAATAGGTAATCATTGCCATTTAAGTGAAATTACTGAACTTAAATATACACGTTTGATAAAAATCATCATTAAAGAAGAAAATTTCAAATGGCATTTAGAGGCTTTTGCATCTGAACTCTTCATATACGTATATATATATATATATATATATATATAAAAAGTGATGAAAATGTCCTGGTTTTCATTATTTTTTATTGGTCCATTAAATTGACCTGTGTTGTGCCTAATTTCGACCCCCGCCAAATTATTGAAAAAGCGGTATATAAATGTATTGAATTGTAATTATGAATTATTATCAGAAGTGGTCAAAAACGTGAATTCACATAAAAAACAACCAACCGCAACTTTCAGATGCACTCAATTGTCACAGAATGTAAATGCACAGTATTGTGGGATATCAAAGGCAGCGAAGAATACTTCCCTTTAAAAAAATATCAGTTGAAGGTTTCTCAAGAGACAGGAAGTGAAGCTAACATTGGATTAGGATGTGCCTTGATGACTTTCTACCTTGAAATGCGACCCCCTTTGGCATAATTTTTAAGCTTTCGGACGCAGCCCTAAAATTCAGTCATAGCACATGAAAATATGTGATATTGATTGATCTAATCCTGACAGGAAGTTATTTAAAATCACATTGGTACTACTTTCTTGGGTCACTTAAAAATGACTTATTCTGTGATGTTAAAATTGCGTGAACTAATTACGTTTGTTTAACTTAGCTGATTCATTTTGGACAGATGCACATGATTAAATCATGTAAATCCAACACTTTTTTTTCTTTAGTGAATGATTTGTGATGTGTTTATGCCTCGTCAGTTCTCTCACCTCCCTCACGAGGGCAGCATTCCCCATTGTAATCAGATTGGACTCCTGAGCAGACAGCTGGTAAGAGCCCACAATTGTTACTGCTTTAAACTTGGCCTGGCAGGAGCACACAGCAGTTAGAGGTTAGAGACTGACACACAAACAGATCCCAGTGCATATTCTGTGTGTTATGTCTTTCTATTGACCTCTGCAACCATCTGCCAGCATATACTAAAGTGTGTGTGAATACTGTAAGTGTGAGTGATGCCACCTGTCTGAAGAAGTTGTCATGTATTCTCCTGGTGATGCGGATCAAGGCTGTCTCTCCCTTCAGTAGCTGCTTAATGTGACACACAACCTCCACACACCATGAGGAAGTGCAATTCTAAAAATGAAAACATTTTTTTTTTTTTAGGAAACATTTCATGCATCTTCTTATGGGTGGTTACAGACATTGTACTTTAGATCAGGGGTTTCATTTAGGGTCTGCAAGGAATTAATAGGGGGTCTGTGGAAATGTTTACAGAGAAAGTATAAAAATGCTAAAAGAAATAGTAAAAATAAGATACAAATAAATAAATTAATGAAAAATACCATACTAAAAACATAAAAAATTGAACTTTTTCCAAATAAAATTTAAGAAATATCTATAATATACAATTTTCACAGTGTAAATGGGATTTTTATACAATAAACTACATAGATGCCTTTTAGAATGGGGTCCCTCGCAAAAGGATGATCATATTTGGGGGTCAATCCCTTCTCATGGCCTTGAGTAATGCCTGTAATCATAACCTAATATAAAATAAAAGTATAACATCTCCAAATTTTGTATTGTGTCTTTCTATTGCAGGCAGCTGCTTTCACCCTCTTAGGTATTTTAAATGGTGGCGTGCTGCCAATTAGTCTATTTAAAAAAAAAAAAAATCTCATATACCAAGAAAGTATACATCCCATGTAAACAGAACAGAGTAACTTGATTAATGATTGTACCATTCCGTGACTGGTGGATATTTCTCCACTGTGTTGAGATAAGACATCCAGTAATCACGTAGGCCGTAGTGAACTCAAACCAACTGAACTCCCTCGTAAAATTCGGTTCTAAATTTTGAAAACTTTGATTGAACTTCAGTTATTTGGTTTTCAATTCCTTTCACAACCATACTGTGTGCGAACATAGTGTCTGCATTCTCACCAATAGTTCAGTTTTCTTCATGTCTTCCGGGTGAAGTGGACGTACATCTCTCTGACTGGACTTCAACTTTGAAAGATCACTGACTACACTGCAGTTCACACCTGAAGCCTACAAATAAAAGCAGACAAAAACATCAAGCACACAAAGGTGCATAAGAGTTACAGAAAGACTTGCAGTGAGACACTAACATTATGAGAGAACGCATCAACCACAGTGGAGAACACTCTGTCTCCTGAAGCCACAGAGGGCAAGTTCACGCTCAGCTCCACATTACTGACGGCGTAACAGCCCAGATTCTGCACCTGATAACAAACATACTCGCATGTAGTCAGATGCTTTCTGGTTTGATTTTAAACAGAGGCTGATGAGCCTATCAGGTTTAGTTTCACCCACCCTGAATTGTGTGAAGAACTCAGGTCCTGTCCCCTCTGACACTGTCCTGGTTGGATGGACCTCATAGCGGTTCAGGTTGGAGTCACTTTAGTGAATCGAGCCGAAATAAAACCACCACATATGAATATTGTACACTGAACATGCATACAGTTTTGAGGTTGTAATTAGGTGTAAAAGGTGAATATATAAAGGAAATAACATGTAGTAGTAATAGTATTATTAATTATTATTTTTGTTATAATAATATAATAAAAGTATTATTATTATTATAAATATTATTATTAGAGGTAGTAGTAGTTGTTGTTGTTATTGTAGTGGTATTTAAAAAAAAAAGTTTAACCAAAAATTATAATAACAAAAATAATACCAATATTAGCGATATTTTTTTTTAAATGTATAATAATAATAATAATAAAAATACTAATTCTAGCAATAATGTGTAATAATAACACAAAATAATAGTAATACCAACTATAAGTTTTGTTATAATAATAATATTAATAATAATTAGTAATATAATAATAGTAATAGTAGTAGTAGTAGCTTCATCATAATTTTTTGTTTTAGTATAATAATAGTAATGAAAAAATGCTAAGACTAACAAAACCCTTTTGTTATTAAAATGATGTATTATATTTATTTTATATGATTTATTATTGTATTTTTCCATAATAATAATATAATAAATAGCCTTTCTTAATTGTCACCAACTAATGTGAACTTGAATAATCGAATAATAATAAAAACAATAGTAATAACACATATTAGTATAATAATTATAATAATTAATTTTGATATTATTAAAGATGTGTGCTCCTTCACCTTGTGATGAAGAGATCAGGCTCATATTGTACAAAACTCAGTAACTGCACACGGTTGTCCGACAACGTGTCTTCATTCTCCAAACTGTCACTGTGGAAACACACAGATGCACATTCAGTATACATCTTAACATATCAACAGATACCTTTATTTACATCTTTGAATGTGTATTTTCAAATATTGTAAACAGATATTGGTGCACTGTGCGCAGAATGGCACAGAAGTGTCATGCCAAAAATGTCTTTGATGATTAAGTTGCACACTTGTGCTAGATAAAATGCATGGTGATTGGTGACTGTCAAATTATATAACACAAAAAGTGCATGACATCCCTGGATAGTACCATTTGCTAATGGTTTAAGTTATGTGTTTGTGTACCTGGAAGCAACGAGCCACATCTGGACCTTATTGATGAGAGACGTACAACTGAACTCAAATTCCAACATGAAGTTCACCTGAGAAAAACGAGGCAGTTGGGAGAAACACTGGTCAATGAACCAAAACGGCTCAGTGACTGTTGTAATGACTCGTGACGACAAACCTTTCTTCTTCCAGAGGCTTACCTTCGTGTGAGAGCGGAACACTGGGTAACTGACATTACAGGAGTGACTGTTTGAGCTTAGAGCCGTGCATTCAATCTTAAACTGGGCGTCTTCCTACAGAGAGAGAATGAGACAAACATGAGGCAGAAAGAGAAATGAAGAGGCCAGACAAAATGCCGTTTATGATAATATACTGTACTTTTGTATAAATGATATGTATAACTAGACATATTTAGATATGATTACACTACCATTCAAAAGTTTGAGGTAGTTTAATGTTTTTTGAAAGAAGTCTCTTATGCTCACCAAGGCTGCAACTTTTGGATCGAAAATACAGTGAAAACAGTAATAAACAGTAATTGTGCTGCTAAATATTTTTGTAGAAACCATGATCAATGTTTTTTTTTTTTCAAGATTCTTAAATAGAAATCTTTTGTAACATTATAAATGTCTTTATTCTCATCTTTGCTGAATAAAAGTAGGTATTAATTTCTTTCAAACAACTTCCTGATTCCAAAACTATTGAATGTTAATGTATATTTTGTATACATAATTATGATCTTTTATTAGTAAATGATAAATAAGCTTTTATGTTTTAAGAGGAGAGATCATGTTGGTACCCGTATACTCAGGCTGCTGAAATGCAGGTTTTTGGAGTAATGAAGAAGAGTGAGACTAGTGTTATAAGCATTTTCCAGTCGGTTTTGGAGCTGCACTTCTACTGCCAGCCGACGCCGGGGACTGCGTATAACATACGGTTGTTGCCTACAAGAACAGATAAGAGCAACATTGAAGTTACATGCTATTTCAATCGCCGTTTCAGGTTTAGTAGTCAGCTACTCTAAACTTTTTAGAATAAATACTATAGGAACTATTGAACTAACTAGTTCTGTAAGTGTGTACTGTAGTCACAGTAGTTGTGAATCCCATCACTTTAGTTGTGCTTATCATCAGGAGGACAATTTCTCTGTTACCTTGTTCCGGAAATGTCCATATGGGCCTGTAAAACCAGATCAGTTACACATACATCATCCTCCCCACAGTCTTTGAAGAATGCAATCTAAAAAGATCCAAAAATGTCGGTTAAAAAACAGCTGTATGAAGGGGAAAACCGTAATCCACCCTGTACATGCAACATTCATTTATATTCCAATTTTCAAAAAGGAATAGTGCTTTTTATTAGCACTCACAGACTTCTTGAATGTTGTTGGCCAGCCTTCGTCCAATACCGGGCCGCTCTCCGTGTCATTGATTTTGAAGCGCAACGTGAAGCTGATTGGTCGGATGTAATCAGCTGTATCCTAAATGTACAAAGGAAGTGTTACAGAGAGAGAAAAACAATTTTCCTTCAAAACAATCAGTAAGTAGTCATGTAATGAGAAGGATAATGCACAGAGAGCCAACCATTAGAGCAAAACAACTCCCTTTTTGCGATATCGACCAGCTAATTGGGCATTATCCTTTGCTTTATTGATTTTTGAAAGACATTTGTACTTACAAAGACATGAAATGGTAGTGTGTAGCACATGGTCTGCCCCACACGAACACTGACGCCCATTAGGGTCTGCCGCTGGGAGTTGTAGTCGAATAGAGCACGAGCCGATATCTTTCTGTCATCCAGCATGGCCCCCATCTGCATATCTATACAAATAAGCAGATGTGGAACATTAGGATGTGTATCAGAGTTGCTATTAATAGAGCTGCCGTACATAAGCGGAATTTAGTACAGCAAAGAAAGAGTTCAATGAAAAAGAAAAAGGTTACAACAAGACACTTTACCAAAATATGTGCCATAAGAGCCAGGAGAACGAGACAGGGCCAAGAAGCAAACCGTGGCGTTAAGGCATGCAGAGTCTCGGCCAGCCTTGTGGCAGTTCTTCTGGATCACGTTTATGGAGTGTGGCTGGAAGGACAGGCTGACGTTGATCTGCACTATACTGCGTGACCTGTAGAGTACAGACAGAGGTCAGGAGGCAAGCACGGTCATATTCAGACCTGACTTTACTACAGTTTGACACAATTTAATATGACAAATTGTTGACTTGAATGACAGCAGCATTTAGATGATGCATAAAAACACAAGATTGTAATGAGGCATAGAGTACTTCAGCAAGACTGCAGAGCCCTGTGCTCCCACAGCAAGATCCAGTAACTCATCCCCATCCAGATCCAGCAGAGCACTCAAGCTACGGCCAAAATACTGCAGCCCTGCAGTGAGAGAGGATCCTGGGATACGCTACAGAGAGAAAAAGAGAGATTTATTAGTGTGTGAAGTAATATGGGGTCTAAAAGTCTAAGACCACTAATAAAAGTGGTCACTAGAGTAACACTACCATTCAAAAAAATGAATGGTATTTATAATGACATTTATAAGGTTAAAAAAGATTTAAATGTTCTTTTGAACTCTTTTGAGCATAGTCTGGGGGTTGCCTTTTTCTCCTCACCTCTCCTCATGTCATGCTGTATTTTCCTCAATTCCCTGTCTTCCTGTCCTGTCTAGCCCCTTGTCATTCTGTATATATGTTTGTATGGACAGGTTGATGGCCAATTTCACTGGTACTTGTGACTATGTGACAATAAAGAGTTACTACTACTACTACTACTACTACTGCTAAGGATGTACGCTGGCAATATGTAGATATGTTACTTGCTGAGGAGCTCAGGGAACGAGGGTTACATCCGTAACTGAGACGTATCCTTTCGTAGTCACTTTGCTGTGCAGCGCTTGCAGGTTCACCACCTAATCTCGAAAGGGAGTGGTGGGAACCTTGAGCACATATCCAGGATCATGTGAGAATAGGCTGGCCCGAATTTCAGGCAAGCTTCGTCAATGGAAAATACGTGCAGGTCCCCTACCCTCTTAATGGAGGCCAATGCAACCTTAAGTCTTAACTGACAGGAACTTAAGCTCCACTGATTGCAGAGGCTCAAAGGGAGCACTCTTCAGGGCAGTTAGAACCACTGAGAGGTCCCAAGACTGAATGAGGATTCAGTCTCCTCGCTCCTCTCAGTAACCTGATGATCAGGTCGTGCTTCCCCAAAGACTTACCCTCAACTGCATTGTGATGTGCGGCGATAGCGGTAGCATAGACTTTAAGGGTGGAGGGAGACAGCCTTTGCTGTCATCTTGCAGGGAGGAAAGGACAACACTGATCTGGCATTTTCTGGGGTCTTCTCAGCGAGAAAAGCACCAGTTGATGAAGAGGTTCCACTCCAACGCATAGGCATGTCTCGTGGACAATGCTCAAACGGAAGTGATGGTAGCCACCACCTCTGGTGGTAGGGTACTCAAACCTGCCTTGTCCTGTCAAGAAGCTACACGTGGAGGTTCCAAAGATTGGGATGAGGGTTCCATAGGATGCCCTGTCTCTGAGAAAGGGTCCTTCCTCAGAGGAATTGGCAAGGGAGGTGCTGTCGCAAGGAGTACAAGATTGAAGAAGCAGGTCCGGCTGAGCTAATGAGGCGCAACCAACATGGTCTTGCACACCAGGTAGGACGAGGTAAAGTACATCGCGTACTGTATGTGCAAGAAGGCTCATTGTGGGAAATACATTCTTGCGGAGGCCCCTGCAGCTAATTGTGTACCAGTGCGTCCGTCCTGAGTGTGCCCTCAGTCAAAACCCGATTTTGACGTAATTCGAAGTACTGTCAGGATTTACTTTGCGTTGAAAAGGCGTGGAAAGTTACAGATTACAGATTACAGATTTTTTGTAATGTTTTTGAAAAAAGACTCTTAAGCCCGGGACACACCAAGCCGACTGTGTTGTCGCCTCTTGTCTCGGCTATAAAGCGCGCTTGAACAAACCAAAAGACCTAAAGGCCACTGTCACCTAGCACATGCGTTCTTCGGAAACAGCAGGTATCAATAGTCTATTTTTTTTTATTCAAAAAGGGAATCCAAAACTACGACTGCCGATATACAAATCAGAAAGTTCTGTAATTTATTTTCAATGAATTACGCAAGGTGATTTACGAAGGTTTGCACTCGTCAATGTACTGATGTTTGCGCCATTATTTCCCACCCAAAAAAAGCATGTCTTAAACCAGACGCTACCAGGTGGATTGCTTTGGTTATTATGGAAATGATCTTTAATTTGCGCGTCATCAGTAGATCACGCACATAACTTTCCACTCCCATCTGTGCTTTTTTGGAATTTGCGCCTTCATACTAATTTACCCTGTTTAGTAAATTTGGCCCTAAAACTTTGTTTATTTAGGAGAAAAAATATTTCCAGATTACCTGGTCTCATGGGACTTGTGGACTTGGGATTTGGCTGTACAAATGAAATAATGATATATTTACTTGTTTGTACTGTGGTATGATGTAGTATTCGTCGCCATGGTAGATGTAAAGAGCTCCCTGGTGGTCATCCTCTAGCGGAGCTCCCACGAGCAGGTCAGAGTATCCATCATGGTTTAAGTCAGTGGCTACGGCCATAGCATAACCAAAGCGTGCATCCTGTGCCTTCTGCTGAGAACGCAGCGTACCATTAGGTGCAAAACCATCCTGGTAGAGAGAGACAGTGAGAGTTACAGATATAGCATTCAAACTAGACAATCACTTTATTTATACATTTATAAGCAAAATGGTATAAGTTAAAGACTAAAAAGAGGAATAAGTTGTTTAGCATGAAGAGGATTTGCCCAGGTGAACATCTGTCATGATCCCAGCCTGTGTTCCCCTGTCTTGATTAAGTTATTTCCTGTTCCCCGCCATGCTGTTTAGTCCACACAAGACCAGGGGAACACAGGCTGGGATAATGACAATACCCTTGGTATTGAATCTTTCTCTCTGCATGTCTCTCACATTCACATAAACAGTACTACCACTGTGGTTCTCACCCCATCCAGACAGTAGACATAGACTTTGCCTGTTTCTTTGTTTCCTGCTCCAAGGAACATGGGAGCAGCTATAAGCAGGATATCTGTTATTCCGTCCTGATCCACATCCACCACGCACACCTCACTGCCAAAATATGAGCCAATCTTGACAGAGAGAGAAAGATGTTAGGAAATCTGAAGATTTCCACACGTCTTGAATCTGTTTTCATTAGAGATAAACCGTTATTAAAACTCTGGTGGATATTATAAGTCAATAATTATTTTGATGTTATGGCTGATAACTGATAAATGACATACATTGAAATATATACATTGTTTAGTTTGGGGTGAGTGCATACTTTTATTCAGCAAGGATGTATTAATTGAAATATCTAAAGTCTGAACCGTAAAGACATTTAGAATGTTACAAAAGATTTCTATTACAAATAAATGTTGTTCTTTTGAACATTCCATAATTCATCAAAGAATCCTGAAAACATGTATTTTAACATAACAGTTTACACAAAAATATATTGTTTTCAACACTTATAAAAATTTGAAATATTTACTGAGCAGCATATCAGAATGATTTCCAAAGGATCATGTGACACTGAAGACTGGAGTAATGATGCTGAAAATGTAACTTTGCCATCACAGCAATAAATGACATTTTAAATAGAATAGAATATTTCAATATATACAAATAAAATAAAATGAATGATACTTCAAATTGTAATATTTCCGCATTATAAATTCAATTTGCTTTTAAAATTCCTTTTGAGATCTGATTCCTTTTTGGTTATCTACATTTAAAAAAAGAGTAAATATGCATGCACACTTAAAAAACAATACTGTCTGGTAGATAATCACAATATAGTTAGATATTAACCCATATATTATAAATCCCTAATATTCATAATTTTTCATTGACCTTATACTCATTTGGAATAAAAACAAAACAAAATTCTTGTTTCGCTAAATTAATCATTTAAACTCATATGTGGACCCATTTGAATGATACAGCGAAAATAACTGACTCAACAACAACAAATCTTTCAGAAATCAAAGTTTGGAAGCAAGTTTTACTTTACTCTACAAAACCAATAGCAGTATGTGACCGATTATTTTAGACAAATGTAAATTTATTATAGAAATGTTTAAGATTTAATTAATTTCTATGACTTTTCCAGGCCTAGAAACCCTAATTTCACTGATTCATCCTGGTTATCCATGACTATGGGAACCCTGACTCTGGATTTTGTTCTGAAAAAAAACATTTTTTTTTTAGGAGTGGTCTGAGAAAATGAAACCCGTTTGCTTTTGTTTAATATAAAAATAAATTCCATAATTGTGAGAGAGCAGGAATGTGGTGTAAAAGAAGAAGGACAGAGAGAGAAAAAGCAATAAAAGAGCAACTAAGACAAGAAGGATATTGCAAAACTCAAAGAATTGGACTTCACGCAAGGATGAATAAAGATCTATTCTGTGCTGTACCAAAGACAAGTCTGTCAAGGGGGAGGGTGTCAGTGTAAATAAATAGAGAGATAAAGGAGAGATTGCTACCTGTTCTCCATTTAAGGCCTGTGTGATTATGACATCGCCTTCAGGGGTGAGGTCAAACAAGATGACCTTTCCTTTGTGCTTGAATCTGGGCGCACCAGCAACATACAACCTCGTCCAGTCACCTACAACCACCGATGACACAGTGTAACCTGCAACAGATGTACACACAGAGAATCAGACTATCACTGAATGTGAAATAATTGCTGCAAATAAGGTAACAACTCGAAGGATTGATTATTTGGTGGTTGTTTTTATGAAGTGAAACATTACCTAGGTAGGCTGCATGGTTCTTCAGCTCCAGTGGGAACTCTTTCTCGAAGGCCTCCCGTGAGGGCCTAATCTGCCCTTCTTTGCTCTTCTTCAGGACGCCTCCTTCCCAGTCATATGCTCCCACCATGCCAAACAAGATACCATCCTACAGACCAAAATTATATAGCACATTATAGCATGATTGCATGTTCTATACTCAGTTTGTCATTTCAAATATTTAGGCTTAAGTACACGTGGACATAAAGCTAATTTAGACTCACATCCAAAATGTGTGTCGAAAAACCAATCTGAGACATCTCCATGAGAAAGGCACTTTCATTGTATCCCAGGGTCCCTGTAACAGCACAACACGTTATCATTGAATTACACACTGTAAATTCATAGGAAGCATTAAATTGTTTAAAAGTGACAGTAAAGACAGTTATATTGTTACAAAAGTTTTCTTTCAAATAAATGCTGTTGTTTTGAACTTTATATTCATTAAAGAATCTTGTAAAATGTATCAGTTTCCACAAAAATATTAAGCAGCAAAACTGTTTTCAACATTGATAAATATCAGAAATGTTTCTTGAGCAGCAAGTCGGCATATTATGATTTCTGAAGGATCATGTGACACTGAAATTTACCTGGCAGCTTTTTCATGACAAGAATAATTTGCATTTGAAATTCTATTAAAACAGAAACTATTTTAATTTGTAATCTATTTCACATTATTACTGTTTTTATGGTATTTTTCATTAAATAAATGCAGCTTGGTGAGTATAAAGGCCGAGACACATCAAGTCGATGGTCGGCCTTTGGGCAATGTCGGACCGTTTTTCGAGCATCAGTCAGCTTAGTTGTGTGTTCTGCACCGTTTGCTCTAGTCAGACACAGTCAAGGGTTTTTTTTGGGGTCGATTCAGCATGTTAAATCAGCGCCGGGCCATTGGTGAGAGAGCAGTGTGATTGGCTGTTCAGCTTAGAATGAGTCAGTGCACAAGAATAAAAGAAAAAGTGTTATAATTTTACGGCATTTTACCTGAGCATTCGAATGCACACATATTTTCTTAATAACATGAGCCGACTGGAAAGAAGAAAGTGATAACTGTGATCGATATTAACAATGGTAAGCAAGTGCTGGTTTGTTTCTGATTTGTATATCGGCAGTCGTAGTTTCGGATTCCCTTTTTGAATAAAAAAAAATAGACTATTGATACCTGCTGTTTCCGAACGCATGTGCTAGGTGACAGTGGCCTTTAGGTCTTTTGGTTTGCGCGCTTTATAGCCGAGACAAGAGGCGACAACACAGTCGGCTTGGTGTGTCCCGGGCTTAAGAGTCTTTTTTCAAAAACATTACAAAAAATCTGTAATAGTGCAGAAATCTGTTGAACTGGACAAAAAAAGGCCAAGAAAAGAGTACACTAGGAAACTTGTCTTAAACAGCTGAAGTTTGCCAAGGTAAACATTATCAATACAGGATGGCACTACAAGATATTTGAATGCAGAATATAGGCCTACTTGCAATGTGAATTCTAGTTAGTGCATTGCCTTGGCTAATCATATTTCTTCCTGTTCATCTGTGGATGCACAGCTGTGCCAACTTTAAGGTCATTCATCTCCTCCCTTCCACCCTTCCTGCATGGCTTTCCTCAGAATCTAGATGGCACAAGCATCACACCCTGTTATTATAGAAATTATTTTTTTATGAAAAGACATCTTGTCCTGTCTTTTCCACTATTTTTTTGTGATGTCTATGTCACCTATTACATTAATTTTTTTTGGTAAAATATCTTGCAGTATATTCATTCATATAATACAAGGTTCATAAGGCACTTCTCTTTATGTCTAAATTAGTGACTAAAAAATTGGACCATGCTAAATATCAGTTCTATCAGATGTTATACAATAGCCCCAAAAGCTTTTGGGGACTTGGAACACACGCAAAATGTATGAATTAAATAAATGCCGCTTGTCAAGTGTGGTAAAAGTGTCTAAATATGTTGAAAAAACAACATCATCAACATCCTTAATGAAAAGGAAATTGTCTCAGTTACATCCAGTAACCCTCGTTCCCTGAGGAGAAAACCAACCAATAGGAATCTCGCTAAAGAGGTCAATCAACTTCGAGTGAAAATAACAAGCCAAAGCATGCAATCATTTGTATCAGCTGTGATTACAGAACTAAGGCTCATTCTTCCTGATATACGTTCATTAAAGGTGAGAAGGTGGAGTGTGTGGAAAGTTATAAATATTTAGGGACTATTATTTACAATAAACTGCGTTTTAATGTGAATACCAAAAAGAAGTCTGTCAGTTTTATTCAACAGTTATGCTCTTAGATAGTGACCTTTTTTACACTGCTCTTGCTACAGAACTATCAAAGATGATGAACAATTTATACAAAATTCATAATACATAAATAATAAACATAAGCAATGGTGGGTTATTGAATGGTGACATGAGAAGTAGAAAAGATCACAGCTGGATCAAAAACATCCCGCCGGATAGCCTGAATCCCTTTCCGTCGAACTTCATAAACGGGGAACTGAGGGAAGGAATGAAAACGATAGATATGGCTGCTTTTGGGAATAACAAAAAAAAGATCGGTACGCAACAACTCTTTCTAGTTGCTTGCGCTATTTGCTATGACCGGAGCGGAAGAAGATTACTACGACAATTGTGTATTTCCGGTCACAAATACGGAAGTTGTGAGAAAGGTCCATTGAGAATGTCTTCTTACCTTCTAGACTAAAAATGCGATCTCCCAATGCATCTACAATGTCATTTAGAGCAGCTTCATCCGTCACATTGAAGAAGTATTTCTCATCTGGGTCACTGGCAATGTACTTAATCTCATTGATAAAGGTCTCTGGATCCTGCTGTCTGCGGATGTAGTGACCTAACACCTGTGGAAGAGAGAGAGTCACTCGTTTATTAACAATTAATCAGAAATATTAATTCCTCAGAGTCATGTTTGAGACAAGTCACATAGTAAAGGGAGAGGAATAACAACAGAGATTTTCTCATACGGAAAGCCAACACCTCCTCCACACCTTTGGGGCGAAAGCAGATGATCTGATAGATCGATTAATGAAGGGATATAGGACTCAGAGGAAACTCATCCTAGAAACAAAACACCTACGCAGAGGAAACAGAGAGAATATCACTCACACCCACTGGCAGAACACAAGCCTTGAAAACTATTGGTGCCAGATCATGAGTTCACTCTCCATTGACATGTACTTATATCTTTCCCAACAAGACCATTGGTTGGATATGCTGACTTGATAAGCTCAACTTATCAATATGAGTCATGTATTGGTCATCATCTTTGAAATTTACGAAGGTCTGGAACTATTGGGATACTGAAGGATAATTATCTCACAGTATTACTTTTTCTCACCGTGTGACTTTATATCTCAGAGTATGATTTTATACCTCACAATTAGTGTGACTTTCTCACAGTATGATTTTATATCTAAGTGTAAGTTTAGATCAAAAATTGTGACTAATTGAATCTAAAAAAGGTAGAAATTAACGTAAAAAATATTTTTGTCAGAATACACAGCTATATGTGAATGGCCGTCAAAAAGAGAAGGATGCTTTTTATCCACACATTGGTGCAGTTACAACATCTACCAGCAGCAAGGGCGAATTGGTCCATATACCCAGCCAAACCCTGACCCCTTGCATGTGACTAGTGTTCATACTATCAAGAGATGATGGCTCAGCACCCTGGACAGAGATCTGAGGATTTCTTATTTGGGTCTCATCTGAGGCTGGGCTGCGTTCATGCTCTCAAAAACAATCAGAAACTTTCTAAGCATGTTCCCAGTCCCAACTAGTACTTGGTTAACAGTATTTGAATTAATAATCAATAATTCAGCAATCAAACCTTTAATTTTAAATGCATTTTTAGTCCTAATTTGCTTTATTTTGCAGTGGTAATTGTCGCATTCCTAGTACCTTGTTCTGAACTTCCACCCACTTTCCCACCCACCATTCTCACATTCCCAGCATCTCTATCCTGTAATGTCTAAAACATATCCTGGCCACACGACTGATACAGTGAGGTTGTTTCTCTACTCTCCCACGAGTGCTTTACTTTTCCATCCGTTCCCTAGTTCTAAAAGGGAAAGAGAGAACATAAAACACATCAAAACATGAAAGATATGCATTGGCTGGCGGAGCATTAAAACCAGCAGTCATAATTTTATTCCACTGTTCCCCTGAGGAGATGCAAAAAGACATATTACCCAGATGACTCTGCAAGTCCGGACATTATTCTGGCACTGTTTGTGTAAGAGAGGAAAACATGGGCTCATTCAGGAGCACGTTTACATGCTCTCCTCCATTCCAATAAGTACGAGTACAGTAGAAATGTTGAATCGTTTAGGGGTATTTAAAATTGAAAACTTTGAGATAGTCTGACATTTATTATGGATTTTAATTCGTTGGACTCTGTTAAGTGGTTTAGCTGCACTGTATATCCAATGGGTTTATATAAAATTTTGTTAGAGATCATACTGAGGAACGATCACCATTCTTTTTGCTTATCTACTATCAATGACTGTGGCTTATGGGTAAAACAAAAAGCAAAACAGCACTACTCAACTACCTGCACTGCTAAATGGACAATGTTAGAAGGCTTACTAAATATTATTATATTATTAATATGATTTTAAAAAGGAGAGAATAAGAATTTGTTTTAAGAATAACAGAATCAGTGTTGTTAACTCAAACTATTAAGAATTTATTTCCGTTGATTGAAATAAAGTAGAAATAGAATAAATTTAATAGAAATAAAAAACAAATAAAAATGACAAAAGCGCACAAAATTGCTAAAATTTAAACTAAAATGAGAATGAAAACTGAAAAGGGCTCATTAAAAATATTGAAAGGTAGGCCTATTATGATAGTATATACAGTAAAAAAAATCCTAAAATAACACCGAACAACATTTATTGGTACTTGTATTTATACATTCTGAATGCCTAAACTACTCTTTTTTAATAGCAAATGTCATTGTTTGTTTTTAGAAACTTTAGCCACATCTAGTCATTGTAATGATGAGCAATGGATGGTTTTACATGTGGTTACCATGGCATTCTTACAAATACCACAATTAAAATATGCAAGAGCTCTCCATGAATCCTCCTTGAGTTCAACCAAACTATCAGCTTTCCTCCAGTGAAAAATAGATTCTTTTGGACTTAACTCTGATTGTAGCAAAAAAAAAAAAAGTTTGCCTGCAGACATTACAAGGTATGACTGCAATCATGAACAGCCTGATGTAAGGAAACCAATATCTGTTAAGAATAAGTTCCACTGTCAGACTATTTTAAAGTGTCTAATTTCTGAACCAGGAGTGACACCAAACAAAAATGCTAAAAGAGACTGCTTTCAAGTTTGCAAGTTTAAAATAACCCGTCCTCTATTAACCCGTTAGACAGTTTAACCTACACTAAATGGTTGAGTCAATGTGAATATGTGAATATATACGCTCTATATAAAATAGATGTTGTTGATGTTATTAGTTGTACTATTGTACTTATTAGTACTATCTCATATGCTTATTATTCTTTTTTTCAATATAAACTTTTGGCCCGATCACTTATAAACGTCATAGCACTCTTCTCAATAATCCGCATGATTTGACACCTTGTCTACGACAAGCAGTGCGGGAGGAGTAATGAGCCAAAGTTTACACTTGTAGTAAGATATAGATAAATAGATTACTAAAGGGAAGAAATGCATTTTGGCTACACTGACACCCCAGGCTCTGGTGAAGGCAGCTTCGCTTTGTCTTTTTCTTGTGCTACTGTGGTTTAGGGTGGCAGTAAAGGGCCGCAGTCTGCCTACTGACACACCAAGAGGGGCAGGGTGTCAGTCTAGAGAGGTTTTAGGGTGTGGTTCATTCCTCTGATGGTGAGGCACCCCCGTTTAAGTCTATTTCTGAGCAGCAATAATGTGGTCATGATTGTTTAAAGAATGAAAGAAGACAGCTTTATCATTCAAGCACAGACAGAGAGTGAGAGAACCGGGTGGAGCTGAGCAGAGACACTGAAAATAGAGCAGTGCCAATTATGGTCAGTTTAAGTGGAGATCTGATATTCAAGCATAGACTCTGCTGCTCGCTGTTTTTTTTTTAGGAGGGGTTGTAGGTTTTTTCCAGCAGGGGTCAGGTTTAATTATAGTATGAATGTGTATTTGTACTCACAGCGATGGCATATCTGGTGATGTTACGTTTCTCACATTCAATCAGAGCCTCAGGAAGGTCTTCCCCATCATGGGACTCTCCATCTGTCACGACTATCATAACTTTAGTGGCCCCTTCCCTTGCTCCTCTGTCTGGACTGAAGGCCTCCGTGCTAGACGTGAGTGAGAAAGAGATAGGACAGTTAAACACAAGCATTTGGGTCAGTAACATGTTTTTTAAAGACATTTTAACAATGATCAAAACAGTAAAATAAAATTGATGAAATGTTAAACAAAATTCAATTATTTCAAATAAACGCTGTTTTCTCTAACTTTCTATTTATCAAAGAATTCTAAAGAGAAAAAAAAATAAGCAGCAAAACTTTTTATCACCAATAATAAGAACACATGTTTTTTTTGTTTTTTTTTTTAGCAGAAAATCAGCATATTAGAATGATTTCTGAAGGATCATGTGACACTGAAGACTGGAGAAAGCATGCTGAAAATTCAGCTTTGCCAATACAGGAATGAATTACAATTCAGTTAGAGTACAGTGGCCCTAATAGTGTTGCTTGAATAGTTTGTTTGTTCTATATTTAAGTAAAATAAATGTAGTATGGTTTAAAATTTTGTTATACCGTATAACAAAATATACATTTTAAGTGCAGCTTAAAGGGACTTTGTGTAGGAATTTCTCGCATCTAGCGGTGAAATTGTATTTTGCATTCAAACGAATTGTGCTCTCCAGCGCCTAGCTTTTTAAAATGCGTGTTGCAACTACGGTAGCCGATATGCATCAAAAAGCTATGTCGGGCTGTCTTCTAATAACATTTCATTGAGTTTTCCTTCGGGTGAACAGGTTTGTTATTTCAAAAAACTGCAACTTGACACAACGAACAAACGAATGTTACAGTGTGAATTACTGACGGTGAAAAACATGAACTAATTGTAATTAGTAGTTATGCCTTCTTTATTTAGTTATGTAATTTTTGTCCCCCTCTGCTATTATAATTTTTCAAGATGGCGGAACTACATGGAAACCTCTGTGGGCCTACCCATCCCATGTATTTAAAGGTAATAAATTCTTTGTTTATGAGGATAAGTCAGATTCTTTGCAGATGTATTTGTACACCATTGAGGACATATTTATGAATAAAAATATTGATTTTAGATAATAAAATACCTAAAAAAAGTACACATTGTCCCTTTAAGTTTCCAAATACGTTTTAGGGACCCTTGTATAATTCCTTCAATTTGAAGATGTATATCTATCTGAAAACAGTCCATATTTCTTATTAAAGTTCACACAAACACAAACTAACATGCAGCAGGTTTCTGTGCTGCTTGTGTAAGGGTGACCAGCATTTTTCAAGATGTAAGTTTCGTGGCACAGCCAGCGTTAGTTAACTTAGTGATTTTCAGGCGGTCGTCCAGACTCTAGCTAAATATAACTATGTGGCTACCCGCAAGAGTGCAGAGTTTAAAAACAACCAGAAGCCTTCTGCCTAATTACATCCAGTGGAGGAGAGAGGAGAGGAGAGGAGAAGAGAGGAGAGGAGAGGAGAGGAGAGGAATGGTAGATGTAAAAAGGAAGGAAACAAGAGTGAACATACCATCATGACAAGGTCTCAAAATGCTTTGAAAAACAAGATGGTTCTCTGATTTTCCACACAAGAGAAGATCTGACAAAAGAGCAAGGGACTGTTTTGATGTGGTATGTGAAAAGGAGAGGGCAGGTTTTAATGGTGGAGAAAAATGTTTGTTTCATGATGAGATTTATACACAAGTTGTTGTGAGGGGCAGACATCTTGAAACAAGTCTCGATTATTAGAAAAATTTGTTACACAGATGTTTCAGACTGGGATTTTATGAAATTACTGAATATCATTACAAATATATAAATATAAGTTTCAAAAGAATTTACATTAACATAGATTTAAGTTAACCATAAATGCTTGTCTGTACATTCAATTGTCGGTACTTTACCAATATTTCAAAGACAATAATTATGAATTTAACTGAAAAAAATGTACTGAAATCCAAAAAAAAAACAAAAAAAAACTGTTTGCATTTAATGCAAATTTAAACTGTCATACATTTTCATTTTCAAAGAAAGAAAGAAAGAAAGAAAGAAAGAAAGAAAGAAAGAAAGAAAGAAAGAAAGAAAGAAAGAAAGAAAGAAAGAAAGAAAGAAAGAAAGAAAGAAAGAAAGAAAGAAAGAAAGAAAGAAAGAAAGAAAGAAAGAAAGTTTCAGGGAAAGTGATTTGAGCAAATAAGTCTGTTAATTGTCGAGGCTGGTGTTATTTAAAGGCTGCTGTGCTTTTATTGAGTGCTACATCTGGACTTATGTGGTTTTTAACTCGCACTCTCTTTTATTTTACTGTGTTTAGAATTAATTACTATATTTGAATTCTCTCACGTTCATGAGTGTGTGTGAATGTCTGAACATGGTCATGTGTGTTTGAACAGCTGCACGGGCGAAGGCAAAGTCTACTGGATGGTGACCACACCTGCGGCTCTGCTGAGCCAGCTCTCTCCTCTCTCTACATCAGCAAACCTGAATGTTATCACAACCTTCCCAACCTCACCCAACTCCTGCTATCACGTCAACTACCATGAGAGAGTGTGTCTGACTAATGTGTCCCTTCTAGAGAATGGAAAGTCTTAAATGAGTATTTAATTGTGTGGAAACAAAGACAGCACACCACAAAACATAAACAATCCCTCACACAGTAAAAGAACAGAAAGACCTGCTACGATTAAAAAAAGGTCCACGAGACCCTTCAGAAGACAAAATGAAGGATTGTGTTCAGCACTGACAGAGATTTTTGACTAGAACATTTTTTATTCAGTTTCATTGCTAACCACACACTGTAAGCCATGTAAACTGAGTGTTTGATTTGCTAAAAAGAAACGCTCACAAAAGTAATTTGTTTGAGAAATGCTTCAAAAATAAAATAGATAAAAAGTTGTTTTATTGTTTCAATATAATTGTTTATTGTTGTTGTTATTATTAATATTATTGCTGTTGCTGTAGTAATAGTGTACTTTAAACCCCAAAGTTTTGCTTGAATAGTGTTTTTGTCTTTGTCCAATATTACTGCAAATATTTGCCTGGATGCACACTGAATTTTGCCCCGCCCACAACATTTGAGGATGGGAAGTTTGGTCTGGACCAAGCGGCAACATTCTAAGTCCCATGGACTTTTATTGTATTTTCGATAGGTTCCAAGTGCCTGACAACTGTGAACTGACAACAAATCGTTCCTGATCCACAGGTCAGAAAAAGGAGAGCTTCCCCCGATTTATGAGGTTGGGACAGACCGTGCAAGTGTTTCTGCCCACCTCTCACTTGCTCTCCTTCTCTAAACCAGTCACTTTCACCACCCAGCGTGTTTCGAAGTGCAGTTACTACTCAACCTTGTTCAAACCTGTCTGGAGCAGGAGGAAGGAGGTGTGTTTAGCTTACTCCCCTTGCCTCCGACGCGTTTAATACCTGCCGCTCGCATCCTCTGAGACACTTTCGGTTTTCTTCAGGAGCAGGCAGACAGTGGTACCTCCCACTGTCTATCATGACGTCAGGTGCTCTTCTTCACCTTTGACCACGCCACCCCAGAGGAGTTAGTGTGTCACCCTAACACAGATATATCCTCCGCATTGCAACGCTCCACTTCTTCTATCACATTTCTTTCAAGAATGGAGGCGTCTGCCAGGTGTATGGCCTAGGATCCTCCGCACGGTTCAGCTCGGCTACACACTTCAGTTCTGTCGCCAGCCCCCTTGCTTCAACGGAGTCTTTCCAACAGTAGTCAACAGCACCTTAGAGGCTTCTGTACTATAGCAGAAGATTTCATCCCTTCTCCTCAGGGGAGCAATAGAAGAGTTTACTCGGAAGGAAGTCGAGAAAGGCTTCTTTAGCCGTTACTTCTTGGTCCTGAAAAAGGGCGGAGGTCTGCGACCGATACTAGACCTGCACCGGCTAAATTTCTCCCTTTACAAATTCAAGATGTTGACACTAAAAGTGATCATATCTCAAATTCGAGCAGGGGACTGGTTCATGACAGTAGATCTGAAGGATGCATATTTTCATATTTAGGTTGTACGGCGAAACAGGAGGCTCCTCAGGTTTACCAGTACAGGGTTCTTCCCTTTGGTCTCGCTCTAGCGCCGAGAACGTTCACAAAGTGTATGGATGCTGCTCTGGCCCCGTTATGGCTCCAGGGCATCCGTATACTCAACTACCTGGACGATTGGCTCCTTTTAGCCCACTCCAGGAAATTAGAGCTCGCGCAGTTGTAGTGTTAATTTCGTTAACGAAAACTAAACGAAAATATTTTCGTCAACGCACATTTTTCACCGAACGAAAACTAGACGAGACGAGACTAAAATCCCCACTAATAAACAATAACTGGGACTAAATCAGAAATAATTTTCGTAGACTAATAAAGACGAGACGAAAATGCAGTTCGGTAAATAAAGACTGGGCTAAAATCTATGGACATTTTAGTTCACGAACAAAGACGAGACGAAAATTACATATTATTATATGATATGGTTTTGTCAAATCCTGTCTCGTCCTCCGCCTCCTCCTCGTCAGCTCTTCCGCCACACACACCCACGTTCAAACCTGGAGCGGGCGGGCACAGTCAGAGTAGCCTACACAACACACATGGAGCAGACAGGAGTTGGATTCACGGTGAGGCGGCGGCGACGAGTTAAAAGTAAAACATGCTTTTCACGGGGCTCGGGAGAAAGAAGAGACGTGATATATGGACACATTTTGTTACAATGATAAACTAACTAATGATGGCTAACTTTCATAGCATTTATCCAGGCTGGCTATGTTGCGTTAGCTTCTTAGCACGTAGCGACCGTAGCCAAAAACTCAATTTCGACCAAAAGTGGAGATAGAACCTTATAATTCTAAGCTCACGACTTGTTGATAGAATTGTATGTGAAGTTAAATTTATGCTAACTTAGATATGTTATACTGGCCGGGCAACTATAGTTTCAGTTACATTTGATTAAAGCAGACAGACGCTTTAAAAAGATTAACGTTAGTTAAAAAGATTTCATACGTTCTAGCAATCTATGCCTTGTTTCACCTTAAATACTGTACCTTTATATACCATGTGAACTAGCTGGCAGGAAAGCACTTTTGTTGTATCAGTTGGAGTTTTTTTTTTTTTTTTTTCACAACATTGACCTTAAATCTATTTATTTTATTATTCTATGTGAACTAGCTTTAAACAGCCAGCACTTGTGTTAAGTTCATAATACACTTTATTTTATTTATTTGTTTCCTTTGTCAGGTGTATTTTATTTGTTTTAATGCAAGCATTTGTGTTTGTGTCTTTGAACCTTAACAATGTTCAAAATAAATATGCACATATTGTCAGAACATCTTCCATGTCTGCATGTGTTCCTTAAAATTGTGTTTTTTTTATCAAAAAGATGAGAGAAAATGTTGAAATGTGAAATAATTTTAGGAAATGTTAAATATTATCTGCTGACAAAAAAGTAAAAGGTTAAAATGATGTCCTGACTAAAACTAGACTAAAATGTTGACAGTTTTTTTTTTGACTAAAACTAAACGAATAAAATTATGTTTTCTTGGACTAAAATAAAGACTAAAATGCTCGACTTATAGTCGACTAAAACTAGACTAAATAAAAATGGGATGATGTCGACTAAATGTGATAAAAACTAACAAGCGATGCTGAAACTGGACTAAAACTGAAACTAAATTTAAAAATGGCTGGTAAAATTAACACTACGCAGTTGCTTCCAAGCCCTTTCAATTTGGCGGGACCCTCTCTTCTTTCGGAAAGGGGTCGGCACGGGTGCAGTTTTCCATTGCCAAATGGTTACGAGGGGCGCCTCTCTGACCGGCTGGGGTGCTGTTTTCACGGGCAGGCCAGCATGTGGGATTTGGACTGGAGAGACTCTCTCTTGGCACATTAAAAGCTTGGAGCTGACAGCTGTTTCCCCTGGCCCTTCTTCACTTAATCCCCTTTTCTCTAAGGATACCATATCATTGTCAGAACAGACAATATGGTGGTAGTGTCTCATGTAAACCGGCAGGGGCTTCACGGGCGCCCACCCTGGACAGGCATGCACGCCACCTTCTCCTATGGTCTCAGGGCAAGTTCCTTTCACTGAGGGCAGTCCATCTTCCTGGGATCCTGAACCCCGCAGCAGATTTTTTGGTGCTCCCTGAGCCCCCCAGCACCAGTGGGGATAGATGCATTCCCCAGCCTTGGGCCGATGCAGAAACTTAATGCATTCCCACCTGTCAAGTTGATCTAGGCAGTTCTGTCCAGAGTGAGGGAGAGCGGAGATTCCGGTCAGGGAGGATCTGCTGTCCCAGCTTCAGGGCAGGATATGGCATCCTCGCCCCGAAATTTGGAAGCTATGTGTATGGCCCATCAGAGGCCACTAGCTTTAAGCTTTGGTCTTCCCGCTGACGTCCAGGAGACCATTGCGAGTGCAAGAGCCCCTTCCACAAGAAGGTTATATCTCTCCAAGTGGAGGGTTTTTTTCTGACTCTCAATCTTACTCTTTTGATAGCCATGGCTTCTTTGAAGCGGGTGGGGGATTTGCAAGCTGTTTCTGTTAGCAATACATGTATAGACTTTGCTTCTGGTCTGGTCAGGGTGACCGAAACCGGGATATGTGCCCAAAGTATTGCCCATAGCATTCCGGTCTCAGGTTATTAACCTTCACTCTTTCCAACCTCCTCTTTTTGTCTCTGAGGAGGACAAGAAGCTTTATTTGCTCTGCCCTGTCCAAGCATTGAAGTTATACATGGATCACTCTGGCGGCTGGAGAAAATCAAACCAGCTCTTGATATGTTTTGGTACTGGCCGTCGCGGGCTTACTGCATCAAAGCAGAGAATTTCCCACTGGGTTACAGAGGCTGTTTCACTGGCATAAGAGGTGTGCGGTCTGCTTTCACCTCTTAGCATCAGGGCACAGTCCACCAGAGGGGTGGCTTCCTCTCAAGCACTTTTTAGAGGTGCCCTCCTGAAAGACATTTGTGCAGCGGCAGGCTGGTCCTCTCCGCACACTTTTGTCAGATCCTACAGTTTGGATTTTGACATGACTCCAGGTTCCCAAGTTTTATCTGCTTGAACCAGTTGTGTGAGCCATCTGGTCTTTGTACTAGTTATGGCAGCGCTTAGCTTGCCGAGTTTGGTATTTCGTTCCCACTGCGTTCCCACTGCGCACCGTTAAGTGAACCTATGAAAGAGAACGTTGTGAGAAGCAGCGTTCGCTGCCAAGCTCCTTGCTCTGCCGACAAGCTTCCTTTTTCGCCAAGGAAATCTGAGGAGCAGATTTGTAGATTTAGATTTTGTAGATTTAGTTGTAGATTTAGTAGTGGTGTTGCATTTGGTTCCTCTATTTTCTCTTTTGAAAAAGTGATATGTTCTCAATGGTTTGGTCCTATTAAAATGCATGGCTTGACTTTAATTAGACTAGATTGTTCAAATCTCATTTTTTCGACAGTAGTGTTTTTCTCCAGCAGTCACTGAAAAATTTGAGACGAGTTTAATTTTGTGAGCTTTTGCTTTTGTGGTCAACAAGTGCCAGCTATGGTTAGTGTCCTGCATATGTGTGCTGGAGTGATTCGGCATTAATGCCAATAATGAAGAATGACAGAAGCAGAAATGACAGGAATGGAAGGAGTGTGAATGGGACACAGAGAATGAATATGAGCCTCTTTAAACAAATCTTTGCTCATGCATGCAAGTCTCCAGGGAAATAATGGAATTACAGTTTTGAGAAGGCACCTTCAAAAGCATCAACATAAAAACAAAGGCACTATTGACCAGACAGACTCAACTATTCTACACACGTTACATTATCTCTGGATGTGGTGGGGATCATGGAAAGGGCAGAATGTACATAAAGCGATACCTTTCAAAAAGGAGAGTGAGAGAGAGAGGGGGGGCTGTGCTAGATTTGTTTTCAATGAGAAGAGGGTCGCCATACCAAGCCATTTGGATGGCGTATGCAGTGCGGGTCTCCCGTCCCTCCTGGCGACTGATGTTCTTGGCGGCTTCAACCACTTTTGCTGTTGTCTGATAGTCCCTGAGAGACCATTCATGTACTGAGATCTCCCCATACTGCAGGACACCAACCTATACACCATGGTCACAAACAGTGAAGTTAAAGTTGATAAGTGTCATTTCTGAAGTATTTTTTTTTCCCCATCTCAGTTATATTTTAGGAAGGTCATCATATTTGGCCTCCTATTACATATATATATATATATATATATATATATAAACACTAGCAGATGTTTGAGGTAATTTGCTGTTAGTAACACAGAAGCAGTAATTTGTGCAGAGTGGATAACTCTCGAATGAGATGTAGATGAGTTTGGCATCTCCACTATGCGCTCCGCCCCACCAACACGAAGGCCCAAATCTGCCGGAGCAAGATATGCGCCACAAACCAGAGGAATTTCCTTTTACCTCGTGTTGCCCCCAGCCTGCCTACCGCCTTAAATATCTCACATAAAAAAATACAGGCTAGGAACATAGATTCACACATTTATCTATCCGTCTCTCTCTCAATCCATCCAACTACACTATTCATGGATCCATCAGTCCATCTTCTCTTTATTACTTTCTGGTTTCACACACTGCCACTAGTACACATTCATACATTTGTTGTCCCTTCTGTCTTTCTCCTCTAGAAACCACAACTTCTGTCTATTCACATTAACATTGTCATCTATTTTATTTCATTCCCTGTTTCTGTTTGGGCTTAGTACTCTCTGCAGACTGGCTTGTGGTTCTGTTACTCACAGTCGCTCAATGCATCCAAGCTAGATCTGTGATAGATCTGCCATTGATAAGATTTAAGGTTAAAAGTCAGTTCTACAAATCTGTCATTCTGTTACCTAAAAGCATATCGTTTTAAAAGAAGAGGTTTTGTTAACTCTCTTTGCTCAATGCTTATGCATATTATGTTCTGACCAATGAATTTCAATGATTTTTCCAGTCATTTGTAAATATTATGAAATGAAGGTCTTTAATTACAGATTTTATTTTAAAGAAGATGTTATTAACTGTCAAATACTTTCTAGGCCTTTGGCTACATGTTCTTGAATATATATATATATATATATATATATATATATATATATATATATAAACATTTTTTAATTGCAGAATGTGTCAAACTGTCACACTACGATGAGTTAATCAAATCAAAAGTGTGATTTTGTGAAAAGTGTGACAAAGTAATACTCAACCAAAAGTGATGTTAACTCAAGCTCAGATCTTCTTCTGAACTTGGTTAAATCAAAGGCCTGTTTACAGCTGGTGTTAAGATTTTGTGTTTCGGTCGATCGGATCACAATTCCCGTTTATATCTGGTGTTTTTATGCGTCTCGAGCACTTAAGGCTGATTATTGGTTTTTGGGGGTGGCAAACCCAGATCCTTTCTACCCGGACGTGCATGAAGAGGTCATGAGATGGTGAGAGTCTCTTTTGACTTTTCATGACTGCTCAGCGGCCTCTTCTGCCTTCTCTGTCCTCGCGGAGGCCGCGGCCAGTGGTACAGTGGGGTTCCCCTCGGTGGAGTGTTTTGTGGCACTTATGTGTTCCCACAGTGCCTCCACCTGGCGTGCCGACCCTAACCACCCCTCCAATGCCTGTAGGTTTTTTGTCTACTCCGGTGACAGGGACCTATAGAGCTGCGGGGCAGGCTGCCACCTCACTGCATGTTATTGCCATCCTTCTGGGTGCTCAATGACATGCACGAGGGTAGGGCTGATTCAGGGCTCATCCAAGAGCTGCCTGCAGTCACTGACCTTGCTCTATGAGTGATGAAGGTGACCGCACGCTCCCTGAGTCAGGTGATGTCCACATACCTGCTCAGACATCTCTGGCTTAACCTGGTTGATGTGTGCGAGGCTGAGCAAACCCGTTTCCTCAATTCCCCCATATCCCAGGCTGGCTTCTGCCCAACAGTTCCTGGCCACCCAGAAGTGGACTGTGGCTACCAAACTTGTCTGACCCTGCGGCCATCTGCTGCCAACCAGCCGCCGTCTCAGACACCTCAGTCCACTTGCTGCCGAACGCGCCCTCCTGCGACATTTCACGGGCAGCTCAGATATGGGTTGCAGGTTGCAGGGCCACTCCTTCCCCCGGCCGGGTGAGAATCTTTTCTTCAAAGAGATACATCCCATCTCTGAGCCCCCAGAGGGTGCGGATGACAGTGTGCGCCACTTACGAGCCTTGCCACTCTTATCCCCCTCTGTCCCAGAGCTCGGATGACAGTGTATGCCGCCCCCAGGCCATACGACTCTCATCCCGCTCTGTCGCCAGACTGAATCCTCCTCATCCTCCTCTTGTTCCCTTTTGGGACCTCTCAGTGGTTCTAACTGCCCTGCCGCACTCCCTTTGAGCCTCTGCAATCAGTGGAGCTTAAGTTCCTGTCAATGAAGACAGCACTCCTGGTTTCATTGGCCTCCATTAAGAGGGTAGGGGACCTGCATGCATTTTCTGTAGACGAAGCGTGGCTGGAATTCGGGCCGGCCTTTTCACACGTGATCCAGAGAACCCGGCCTGGATATGTGTCCAAGGTTCCTACCATTCCTTTCTGGGACCAGGTGGTGAACCTGCAAGCGCTGCCCCTGGAGGAGGCAGACCCAGCCTTGGCATTGCTCTGTCCAGTACGTGCTCTCCGCGCCTATGTAGACAGAATGCAGTGTTTCAGGACCTCAGACCAGCTCTTTGTCTGTTATGGTGGGAAGCTGAAGGGAAAGGCTGTTTCCACGCAAAGGCTGTCCCACTGGATAGTGGACGCCATTGCTTTGGCATAGCAGCAGCAAGGTCGTCCGTGCCCCCTTGGTGTGAATGCTCACTCCACTCTGAATGTGGCATCCTCTTAGGCTCTAGCACATGGCGCCTCGCTAACAGACATCTGCAGAGCTGCAGGCTGGGCGACACCCAACACATTCGCCAGATTCTACAATCTCCGAGTGGATCTTGTGTCCGCCATGTACTCGCTTCAACCAGCCCAGCTGGTAGGACCCGCTCAGGTGTCTTCGCTTGCTCGCCATTCCACTGCACAGACTGGATACGTGCAATATTCTCCTCAGGTGAGCCTCACAAGCCCTGAGTTCCTCCAACACTGCTGACGTCGACGCCAGTGTCTATTGCCTGTGCTTTGGCTAGGTGCCTCCCGTGTGCATGGTTCCTCCTCTGAGCGACCCCCACATGTGTATTTTCCGGCTACCGGCTACCTTTGGAAGTGGTCAAAAGTGGCAAAGCTCAAAACGTTTAGACCCCATTTATACCTGTATTTAGCGTGGTCCACTTGTGATCCGATCGACCGAAACGCATCTTAAATAGGGCCAAAAAGAGGAACCATTGTTAAGTCAAATCTAGAAAGAACATATATATTTTCTTAAATCCCTCAAAACACACATGAAAAAAATAAATAAACAGGAACTTCATGTAAAAAAAACATACCTGCATTTGCTCAGGGCTTATGTGGAATTTGCTGAGAATGTTGCTAAGGAAGTTCTGCACCTCAGACCAGGGATAGATACTATTAGAACCATCTAAAACAATCACTATGTCCATGTAAGTGGTGCATCCTGTTAAAAATACACACACAAAAAAAGTTCAGTTAAATATGGTTGTTTCATTAAAACAGGTTAGGTGAACAGAGGTTTATCTCACTCTGGGCAGTGGGTGCAAGGATGTCCTTGGGCTTCATGTCGTTGGTGACAGACGCACAGATTCCTGTGCTAAACAGAGATGTACCACATTCCTGGGACCACAGTGGAGCACAGGCCTAAAAGAACACAGAAAAAAAGTATTTTTAAACAAGTCATCCAACATCTGTAGTACCTTTATACTAAATATTAAACACTTGTGGTACACTGCAGACTTATTATGCACAACAGCTCACAGAACATGTTGATATGTGCACAAATGAGGGATTTTGTTAGTATTGCATGTTAAATTCTCTGTGTATGTTAAAGGGTTAGTTCACCCAAAAATGAAAATTAAGTCATTAATTACTTACCCCCATGCTGTTCCAACCCGTAAGACCTTCGTTCATCTTCGGAACACAAATAAAGATATTTTTGATTGAATCTGAGAGCTGGATCAGTCCTATATAGACTGCCTAAGGGACTGGCTCTTGACGGCCCATAAAGTCATTAAAGAAAAGGTTTAAATATTCCATGTGCCTACAGCGGCTCAATTATAAGTTTATCAAGCGACGAGACTACTTTTTGTGCGAAAAAAACATAAATAACGACTTTATTCCACTATTCTATTACTTCCTTATGGGCGCATGCGCGAGAACTGAGACGAGGACGTTCTCATTCGTCTACTTCTTGTTACCGGCTGCTCACCGCTTAGAAGTTTTACCGCCACCTACCGTATAAGATGATGTGCTGATATAGCTGGAAGCGCAAAACTTTCTGTTTACAAGCAGAGGAAGATGCACGCTGTGCACTTAAAAGCCTTTAATCTTCTCAAAAAACGACAGTGTTCCTTATAATCCGGAGCGCCTTATATATGGATCATCATTTTATACGGTAGGTGGCGGTAAAACTCCTAAGCGGTGAGCAGCCGGTAACAAGAAGTAGACGAATGAGAACGTCCTCGTCTCAGTTCTCGCGCATGCGCCCATAAGGAAGTAATGGAATAGTGGAATAAAGTCGTTATTTATGTTTTTTTTCGCACAAAAAGTAGTCTCGTCGCTTGATAAACTTATAATTGAGCCGCCATAGGCAGTCTATGTAGGACTGATCTAGCTCTCAGATTCAATCAAAAATATCTTTACGGGGTTGGAACAGCATGGGGGTGAGTAATTAATGACTTAATTTTCATTTTTGGGTGAACTAACCCTTTAAGTCTGATATTTGTACATTTTTCTGACAAATTTCTTCTGTTTAAATAGGGGGAGGGAAGAGCTATGTGCTGGTCAGACCAATCAAATCTACTGAAGTAAAATGAGCAAGGGAAAGTAGGACAGAGAAACAGAAATAAGGAAAGAAGCATAGAAGAAAGGACAGCCTTGATGATCATAAGATACTGTCTCAAATCAATGAATCTTTTTTAGAAAACTTTCACATACAGTAGTATTATAATGTAATATAGACCTATACAATGGATGTGGATTTCAGATCATTTTTAAGTGTAAGTTTTTGGAATCATTTGATTAAAAATATGTAGAGTTCAGGTATTGTTGAGATCCCTTTTGAACCTTTGGTTCTTTATTTGAGTCTGAATTATTTGGTCATTTACTCTTCAATTCATTTCACTGCTGTCTACGATAATTTGTAAATGTTCTTCCCTTTGGGAAATAATCACTAAATTGGTTAGACAGAGAGAAAGAATAAGACTGAGAAGAAAGGGAACAATATGAACAGAGAATTGTTGATAAATGTCGGTTATTGTCATAAATGCTTTAACAGAGTTGGCGGCTGCTCCTGCAATAAAGCAATTTAAACGTATTTGGTGGGAATTGGGGGGAGAAGGGAAAAAAACCCATAAAAAAGTACATCTTCAAAGTGTACCATTTATGTGCCTGAAAAACCATTGTGAGGATTGGTGAGGGAAAGAATGGAGAGAAAGAAAACATACCAAAAGTTGAAAGAGGGAGAATGAGACAAAAGAAAGACGTGTTTGGAAGAAGTGGTTAAGGGGGGTTAAAAGTTCTGCAATTCCCCACCCTGTTATTATGAAAGCCTGTAACAGAGGGATGGGAGGATGGAGAAAGGGAAAGGAAAAGGGATAGAATGAGTGTGAGAGACAGAACTGAAGTGGCCATGAGGGTGAGAGGTGCTATGGCTTTTCCCCGGCCTGTCATTACAAAGGGCTTGAGTCACATTCTTATCCAGTTATAGCACTGACCAAAAGAACAAACACCGCCTCACAAATCCTCAATCAGGTACATTCAAATAGATGATTTGGTTAGTGATATTTGAATGTGCAATGAGGGAGCTCATTACAACCACACTGTGAGTGCTAGTTGTAGTTGGCATACACCATGGTGAACTATGTGTGACTCCATCCCAAAAGCTGTGCTCACTTGCTCTCCGTTTAACCCCTCTGTCACACAAACACATATACAAAAACATATTTTTGTTTTAACACACACATACCCAGACTCTCCCTGCCAAAACATTTGCTTGCTCTCATAAAAAGTCTGACTACTGGCGAAAGCCACCCAGCAATTCCACCAAAGCCACAGTGGAGGGGCTCCAGAACTGGACTGATCTGGTTCACTGCGTTCTACCCCACACAAAAAGCTTTGTGTATGTGGAAGCGTGTGTGCGGGTAAAAGAATGTTACAGGCTGAAACCATCAATATATTAAGAACTAGCTGTTCTGGTTGGGTTTTAGGTCAGGTGAGGTTCTAGTTGGTTTTATGTGTTTCTGTATCCATCCATCCATCCATCCATCGACCCTATAGCTTATAGTGGAACAAATTGATGTGATTCTCTTGTTCAACTCATTGAAACTATGACCCAACTGCAGTAGATGTAGTAGTGAGTGTCACTCACACTCATGTCATCCCAAACCTATATGAATTTGGTTCAACTTTGAAAAACATAAATGTAATCTATGTGAATCAAGTGGTTTAATCAAATTGAATCTGTTCATCATCATCTGTTCATCGAGATTCTGGAAAATACACGGATAAATTGATCCGAGATAATTTGACCTGGGTTCTTTTGATTTTGGTTTATTCACACTGCAAGTGATTTTCCGGAATTAGAGAGTGGGTTCACATACAGCCCTGTGACATCAATGTGAGATGTAATGTCTCAGCAGCATCTTAAATTTGGCGTCTTAAGTTCGGCATCGATCCCGGCATCAATCCCAGGTCGTGTTTGCATTCACACAGAGGGTGTTCTGGCAATATCCCAGGATCAACGCACTGTGTGAAAGGGGCTCTATAAAGCACTTGTGTCTGCAGAAGACTTAACTTAAACTGCTCAATTTATATTGATTAATTGTACGATGTCTTATTTTGTACTTTTTGTTTAAATTTTGGATGGATGAAAAAAATATGAAACATCTTCAGAGGGTGAGTAAATTATGAAAGAATTATTTGTTGGGGGGGGGGGGTATTCCTTTAATAAATAATGGAGGGGAAGATTATCAGTGAATACTGACATAAATTGGCTTCGGGGAAGATTATCTGAATTATAATTGGATTATAGCACACAAGTTGAATGGACATGCAATGGAACAGGGCAACTGAGTACATTTAGCTAAATTTCTAATTTTGCACACCACAGACAAACAAAAAAGTAATAGGGTTTAGAATGAAACAAGGGTTTGTAAATTATGATCAAATTTTCTTTTTTCTGTGAATTGTCTCTTTAAGAACACCCTTTTAGAGACAAAACTGACTCTATAATGTGTCATTTAAATAGTGGCCACTGTTTTGCAGGTGCGGTCACATGCACAAAGATGGTGGTAATAGCAGATGGTAGTGGCTAAATGAGTCAAAGAAGGGGAATATATAACTACTCATTCAACACACCATACCACAAATATGTACACACTCATGCCCACTCACACTCATTATACATATATATATAAAAACATAAACATGTCTGAATAATACAAAAATGGCTGTGATATCAGTGCTCAAACATGAGTTGTTTTTTAGACTTTAAATACCGGTCAAAAGAGTTTCAAATATAATCTCACCAGGAAGCCATCTGAAGCAGCAGGGGTCAGCGTCATCCCCAAATGAGAGTTTTTAAGATTTCGAGACACGTTCTGAAATGCATTTTCACCTATATACAGAATAACACATAAACATGTTGTAAACTAGTACTCCATGCACAACACTGCTATTGAAGTAAATTCTGATAGCCAAGGAGTTAATCCGATACCTAGGTTAACTTTTGAGCAATTGGAATTTATCTCATCTCCCACAACGCACTTGTAAATATCTCCCTTCCTGTTATTTTGTGGTCCGTCCCATGGAGCACCAACCAGAATTCTGTTCATAAAACAATCACTCAGAATACAATTTCAAAATAACCTTTAGCAAGGAGACATTTAAAGAGCAGGAAAACATGAGTTCATAAGCTTGTTATAGTACTAATCACCTGATAGCATCTTAATTAAATGTAACTTAGAACCTCTAAAGTTACAAACTAAAAAAAAAAACTTAGTAAACCAAAAAAAGTACTTACGATTTTTCTCCATTGTCATCATGCTGTAGCACAGAGAAGCCGAACAGAGCATCTTCAGGCCCACTGAAGATCCGTGGCCTCTTCACATCAATATTAAAACATTCACACAGCCCTAAAAGAGAGACCGAGATTGAGTCTTAGAAGTAGCATACTGTATATTAGGCTATATAGTAGTAAATATATACAAGTCTCCTATGCTGTGTTTGCTGTCTGTGACCCTTGCCTGTCTGACTACTCTGTAATAAACTCATGCTGCATTTGGATCTACCTGTGTCTTGTTGTATCATGACATTATTAATACAATAAGTTTTTGTTTTTTAACAAAATTATATGCTTATTTTTTAATAAAAAAGTCAATCTTCATCTTTATAACTTTATAACTTCCTTTTGCATGTTCTTTGTGGAGGTTATCATAGACCTGCATTATATGACTGAAAAAATATCAAAATTGAAACTACTGCAGAAACAAAGACACATCTTGGATGCCCTTGAGGTAAGCTGAACCAAAAATTAATTTCAAAGTGAACTATCCCTTTAAAGAATGGCTGTAGCTGATGAATGAACTGGATGGATGGATAGACAGACAGGAAAAGGTCAGAGAAAAAGAGTTGGCAAAAGAGAGAAGGGAAGAGAGGGAAGGGCGTCGGTTGCAATAACTACCGAACATAGTGGTTCCCTGTTATGACATACAGACCTGGCTTTTATATGATTCAGAGAGCGAGAGAGAGAGAGTGAGAGAGAGAAGAGAGAGAGAGAGAGAGAGAGAGAGAGAGAGAGAGAGTCTGAAGGGAAAGTTCACCCGTGGATTTGTAACTCAAGGCAAATCTAATTCAAAACAACCCGATTGGCCAAAACAGATGTGTGGAACAAAGATGACCAGTCAATCACACTCCTAGCATAATACCCAACAATAAAACAGGATTTTTTTCCGTTTTGTGTGATACGGGTTTGACCCACACTGAGGTACACTGAGGTCTCATTCACTATAGGTGAAGTTGCTCTGAGTGGATTTCTTAGGATTGTTTACCCAAAAAGCAGAGGGGGAGGCTTTCAGAAAGGGGGCAGGCAGAGAACCAAACCCCACAGACCTCAAATAGGGAGCCTGTATTTCTCTCTTTTAGTCTCTCACTCTCTCTCTCTCTTTCCAGTGGAAGAGAACATGGAGGGGGGTACATATGGATCAAAGAAGAAATGGGACACGCTCTGTAATTCATTCTTTTTTTTCTGCCCAAATGTTCACAAACATTAACTTGCCTTCCCACAATTCTCTTGTGCTCCTATTTCTCCTTATTCCCGTTTAACACATATTCCTCTGTTATGCTCACAAGTCACTATTCTTTTTCTTTTCTTTAATTCCTTTTTGGATTCCTTTCATTTGGGCATTTGGGGGCCTCAGCAAATCTCCAAAGGGGACAAAGGATGTACACTGAATAAAATTATAAATGCAACACTTTTCTTTTTGTCCCAATTTTTCATGAGCAGAACTCAAAGACCTAAACTTTTTCTACATACACAAAAGGCCCATTTCTCTCAAATATTTTTCCACAAATTTGTCTAAATCTGTGTTAGTGAGCACTTCTCAGTTGCCGAGATAATCCATCTACCTCACAGGTGTGGGCATATCAAGATGCTGATTAGACAGCATGGTTATGGTACAGATGTGCCTTAGGCTGGCCACAATAAAAGGACACTCTAAAATGTGCTGTTTCACTGTTTTGGGGGGTCTGGGAGGGTCCTGGGGGTGGGGTACAATAACCATGCTGTCTAATCAGCATCTGACTGGTCCGAAAACCAGTCAGTATCTGGTGTGACCACCTGTGTTCGTTGTCCATAACATATGCCTACCCATACCATAACCCCACCGCCACCATGGGCCACTTGATCCACATCGTTGACATCAGCAAACCGCCATTCACACTGCCTGACATCTGCCCTGTACAGTGAAAACCATCTGTGAAGAGAAAGTGCCAGACACCATCAAATGTGAGCAATTGCCCACATTAGTCAGTATAGACAACAAACTCCAATCAGGTTGAGACCCCAATGAGGACGACGAGCATACAGATGAGCTTCCCTGAGACGGTTTCTGATAGTTTTTGCAGAAATTCTTTGGTTATGCAAACCGATTGTTGCAGTAGCTGTCCAGGTGTCTCAGACGATCTTGAAGGTGAAGATGCTGCATGTGGAGGTCCTGGGCACGTGGTCTGCGGTTGTGAGGCCGGTTGAATGTATTCTGGAAGAACACCAGTCCGTTAACAGATGACACTTTAAATATACAGCTGGCGTGCAGAGAGGCCTCTGGCTTGAAGTATATCACCGCTGGTGAATAGGACACTAAGGTCATGGAGGTTACAAAAGTTTGGGTGCAAGTGCCAAATTGCGCCGCATCCCTGAGAAAGGAGGTCTTTCCTTAGGGGAATTCTCCAAGGAGTAAAAGCTAGAGAACCAATTCCGGGTGCAAACAACAAGACCTGTTCTCTGTGTAATGTCTGTGCAATTAGGCTCACAGGGAGAAAAGTATTCTTGCAAAGGCCCCGGGGCCAGCTGTGTGCCAGCGCATCCCTGTCGAGGAAGGCCTTGGTCAGGGAATACCACAGAGGGCAATAGCAGGATTCCTAGGAACTGAATCCACTTCAGATCAGCTGGGCCGCCTGAGGATGGATTCTCCACTCACCCTGAAGCGTAACTCATTTCAAGAGCTAGTCAGATTTTTTAGACTGGGATATAAGTCGCCCACAGCGATTTCAGTCACAGCTGACTCTAGAGGACAAGATGAACGATTTGTGACTTGCATAGTAAGCATAAACTGCCTTGGATCAACGCTCGAAACCTCCACAGGGCCAGCAATATCGCTAGCAACTCCAGACAGTTGATGTGCCACTGTAGTCAAGGTCCAGGAGCCCGATGCTGTGTGCCCATTGCACATGGCACCCCAGCCAGTCTGTAGTGACAACAACGCGCATGGACACTTGCTCTAGGGAATCATCTGCCTATAAAAATGCAAGGTCAATCCAAGGGCTGAATAAGTGGCGGGATGCTCAGTCTATGGTGGAGCAGGTGTGGCAGCCACAGGTGGGCGCTCTTTGCGACGAATAGACAGGGTGCGAAGCCTCTGCGTCCTGCAGAGCAATCTCGCAGCGGCAAGATGTGTTTAATGGCCTCCATATGCTTATTTTCTACCGACAACTGCTGGGCAAAGTCTTTGACTGAAGTATCGCCGAAGAGTCCATCCTGCTAAATGGGGTCATTGAGAAAGGGAACTTTGTCTGCATCCCCACAACTCCGGATGAGAAATCAGGTGCGGTATGTGTTGCAACGTCAAACGCATCCAGAAACTCCACTGTGTAAGACAAGGAATGAGAGCTCCATACCCGGCGGAAACACTCTCATTGTTGCCCTCAGATCACCCTGAGCGCTAGCCGACGCAACCTTGTGCATTGCAGACAGACCGGGACAAGGAGTAGCTGAGGTGACTCCTTTTACTAAGACAGTCGCGATCACAATGTTGATGATCTCTCATGAATCATCCATGAATGATGTGTCAGTATACAGTAGGTGAAACTCAAACACGTGAAACAGAGATTGTGGCTCTGAAAGTAGCTCCAGGGGAAGCTCTTTTGGCACTTAACTTTGCAAGGTGTGGAGAGAGACTGGTAAACTGCGCCATAACAACAATCCATCAACCGAAGTGAATGGAATGAGCTTATGTATATGTGACCCTTGCGCGGCTCAAGGACAAATCTGAAGGAGTGGATGCAAGTGGATGCAACCTCCTTTTAGCCAATTCTCATGGCCAAGCAGCATTGCTGTAATTACTGCAGAAATAGAAGAGGAAATATCTTGGGTCTTAGAATATTGTGTTGGACAGTGGACGGACTTCAAGTCAAAAAGGTTGAGAACCACTGTGTTAGTGGAAAATGTCCATAGTTAATGTGATGAACTACACTTGTGGTTACTCTGCAGGATACTTGTACTTGAAATGAACTGACTTCCTACATTCATTTAAAATGGCAAAAATTCAGAGTTCTAGCATCCAATCCAATGATATTCAGTCATGTTTAAGTGTGACTTAAATGTCCAAAAGTGGCTTTTGGGGGGTCATTTATCTCTTCCAAATTATCTTCATCCAAATCCACCCAGCAAAACTCCCTTCTTCTCATTCACACTTGTTTTGTTCTCCTTCTTCAATGTTTGTTTCTGTGTGTGAAAGAGATGTAGAGTGTCTTTGGTCCTCTGTTTTAGCTCTGTGGGTTTTCTTGGTCCATGCCTCCAGGGCCCTGTCATGACAACTGTAAACATTTATGTAACTTGGTGGTGAACAGTCTGGAAAAGCAGCAGAGATTCTCTCACTCCTTACATATAAAAACACACATATACACTATTACACACATACAGTAAATGCTTTCCTAAAACCACATTGAGAGAAGCATTCTCACCCACCACTGTCACATTGAATGAGTCTTATTAGAAATGCAAATGTATGTTCAGCCATGCCAGTATGAGTAATATGCGAACACATGGGACACATTACCGAGAGAGAACATGTTACTTTATGTTGAAACCCACTGAAATGGAAAACAATTTTACCCATGCTAATTTAAACTGTGAAGTTTAAATGGTGCAGTTTAGTTATTACTCTATTTTCCAGTGAAATATCCATACAGACACACATTCATCCTCACTCTCAGTGTGAGGATATACACTGGTTTCTCATGTCACTTTAGTCTAAATCTCACTTCTTTCCAAACAGATTTAATGTATATCTGCTCCACACATTTAAAAAAAAACATTTCAGGTGATTTCTTGTCTCCTGTTTTCTTTTGCTGCCTTATGTTGCCCCTGTTTTTCATGTAATGTCTCAATAAACCCTCTCAAAAGGTGGGTGGGTCTTGAGAGTGAGAAATGCCAAGAGACATTAGGGGGTAAAAGGGGGTGGAATTCCAAGAGTCCACACCTGTGTTCTCTATCTAAAGCACAGAAGAACATAGCAAAACACAAGACAGCTTACTCATCACTGAGCATCTGCAGAATCTATCAGCAGCCACAGCAGTATGCACAAAAACAGACACCAATGCCTACAGTATGCAGGCTAGGTAACAAGTTTTATATAAACATGTCATGCAGCTAGTGGCATTAAACTTCTGGAAATACTTCGACTGCAACTGTCCATAAAGCACCATAGCGTTCACAGTAATTTGCTATGATGTGTGACCTAATTGTGGCATGATAGGCTACTTTATCTAAAATCTTAGTTTCTTTCAGTGAATTTAAACAAAGGTCTCCCTCAAAATAGTTTGATCTGTTGATGTCTAGATGAAGTCGGTTAAAAGAGAATAACTCTTTAATGCAAGTAATTCCAGCAAAAATACTACAGCAAGGAAAGTGATTTGTAGTGATTAGATGCAACATCATGCTTTACACTTTAATTAGTAATTACTCTAAATAACATTGGTTGAAAACATGTGGTTAAACAAATAAATAATGTCCTTGGAGTCACAGCCTACAGCTTACTTACTGTCTTATAAGTGCAGCGATCTTACAGATGATCTTCAAATGCTTTTACCTACATTATTTGCATGTTTTAAACTATTTAAGAAACTATATTACATGAACATCACGTGACTGAGAGAGTAAACAGCACAAATCAATGCAAAATCACATGCTTAACTCACCTTTGAGAAGAACAGTGATCTTTAACAACAGCAGGTACTTGTGGATCTCCATTTGCCAGTTATGTGATTCAGTCTCTTTTTCTCCTTCTTCAATTTGTAGTTGTCAGCAGTGATTGTAAATACAGCGCGCGCAAGGAAACAGGGGTGCACGCGCGTGTTCTCTCAGGTGGACATTTGCTTCCTCTCCAGTGGCATACTGTTACTCACGCGCTCACAGTGCAGGACGTAGCACGCGCGCCGCTCTCACATCCCTGTGCATGAAAGACATCACTGTATGGGATTTTGGCCTTGTCGCAACTTTTTAATCATTTTGACTGGACTTGTTTTTAAAAACAGTTGACCAAAAAATAAGACTGTTTAAAATCAACTGAGGACAGTCATGATATTGGCTAATTTATTTTTTTCTTTGTGCAAACACGGAAGTTTAACGGTATCTATTAAGAAATCCTCGATAAACTAACAAATTGAAAACTTAGGTTAACTTACCTTCTTGTTCCCCACATAAACAACGATTAGGCTGCTAAAAATCCAGGTTTGCGCGGCTCCAACACCTGCTGTCGTTAAATAAGCGCGCGCATGAGTTTAGTCCAGCTCTTGCAAACGAGCGGTTCCCAAAATACATTCACAAAAACAACCGACAAAAATACTTTATCCAGGGATTTTTTTTCTCAATGTTGTTACAGAAGCCTTTATCCTTTACATATGAAATGTGGAAATTATCAGAAATAGCCAACTATTTTCCTGAGGTGAAATTTATTTAATTGCCTTCGTAGACTGCTTTCCTTCGACCGCTCGGTGTATCCAATATGTAGGCTATATAGCCCAAAATGAAAGAGCGCCTTGATTCTGCAGAAAGAGTCTCCCTCATAGTGGACCCTTTTTTTGGCCTGGCCCACAAACCTCTCTCTCTCTCTCTCTCTCTCTCTCTCTCTCTCTCTCTCTCTCTCTCTCTCTCTCTCTCTCTCTCTCTCTCTCTCTCTCTCTCTCACACACACACACACACACACACACACACACACACTTTATTTTACTTTATTGTACGTGTCGTGAAGTAGCCGACATCAGATGCGGTTTTCTTGGAAAAATTTGAGGGGGGAAAGAAATAGTTTTACAGTTTCCAACCGGAGTAAATTGAATAACAAATATAGATTTGCCAACTCCATGTAGATTCTGGTTATGATAACAGAGACCAATTATTTTTCCTTTCCCTTTAGATGAACCTTTTGTTTTTATGACAGAAACGTGTTGTTATATGTATATACAACATGTCAATATGTTATATGCTCTATAAAAGACTGAGCATTGGAAACATGAAAAGCAGACTGGCCTTCTATTTAAAAAAGCAAGATTGGGTTGATTTTGTTCTCTCGCCACAATCATGCCACAGATATTATCAGCTCTGTTATGTTAAGACTTTGTCAAAATATTGTAGTGCTTTGGGTCATGTCTGGGTTCACCACAACCCAGAAAACTCATTTAGTTTTGCCTGAATAGAAGATATTTGAAAAAAGCAACACTATCTTATTTATTTTTTCCTACTTATAGGGTTATTACTGTAACTTATTTGCCGGTTCTGGCCAGTTCGCTCCTCTCCAGCACCAAATTTCCATCACAATATCATTTCTCCACATTTTAAAATGTTTGTAATTTCTTTTCCTATATGTGGTTACAATTGTTGCATATTCCAAATAAAATAGATTGAGATTCACAAATAAATGTAGAGATTCACAAAAATGTATTAAATTCACAAATAGGCTATAGATTAGCCTAAGATCCACAAAAAGCAGAAAAATAGAAAAATATGCAATGGCATTGCATTTATTTATCCGTTTATATTTATGTCCTACCTATTTGTCACCACGATTGTACTTTAAAGGTGCAGTGTGTGATTTTTAGCGAGATCTAGCAGTTCGGTTGCGAATTTGCACTAAAGGCTCAGCCCACTGCTAACCCCTCCCTTTCGAAGAGGCTACGGTGGCTAAAACTGGACAAACATATGGTTGTCTGAGACAGCAGAGAATAGCCAGAGTAAGCCAAAGGTGTGTAACATTGTCAATGTTTCTGTACCACAGTCCATTACTAAACACATCATGCTGAAGTTTACAAAGCTCAGGTGAGGATCAAGGGTCTTAATATATAATATAATAGTAATCAGCTGATTGTCTCACAAAGTAACCAGCACATTTCTCCCCACATAGCAAACCCATAATGGAGGGTTTTTTTTTACAGTCTATGCGTGTTATGATGCTCGGAATAATAATCATAATTTGTGTGTAATCCTGAGTTTATCCTGATGGAAATATAAAGAAGCCTTAAACTCCAGCAATCTTTTGGAAACAGGGTGTTTTAACCACACAAACAGCTCAATTTGAATGAAGCGCCACTTACAGCTCCATTTCAAGGGTGAAATAATCTTCTGAATTAATCAAATTCATTTCCGCCCGAGTGTAGAGCCAAACGTGATTGGTTGTAACGAGAACGTGCTACGATTGGCTGTTATCTGATTGGCTTGAGGAAATGGTGGATGGAGTAATGGTGGATGAGGAAACCGTGGACGCTAGAAGTGTTTCAAAATTCACAAATGTATGCAGTGATTTACAAATTCACAGAAGAGTTGGCAGAGTTGTTTTTGACATAAAACACATTTGTAAAAAAAAACAAAAACAATAATAGCCTATTTGCAAATCTCATTTAATTTATTTATGAATTTTATATATTTTTTGTGAAATTCTTTACATTTATTTGTGGATCTTAATCTATTTATTTGTGAATTTGATACAGTTTTGTGACTTTCTTTACATTTGTTTGTGAATCTCAATCTATTTATTTGGAATAGGCTAATATAACCCCAAAATATGCATATATATATATATATATATATATATATATGAAGAGTTCAGATGCAAAAGCCTCTAAGTGCCATTTTTATCAAGCTTGTATATTTAAGTTCAGTAATTTCACTTAAATGGCAATGAAGATTACCTATTAATTGTCATGTAAGTGAAATTACTGAACTTAAATATACAAGCTTGATAAAAATGACCATTCTAGAAGAAAATTTCAAATGGCATTTAGAAGCTTTGCATCTGAACTCTTCATATATATATATATATATATATATATATATATATATAGCCTATATATATTGCATATAGACAAAATTAAAGCTTAATAGAAAAATAATGAACAACGAAATCTGACCCTTTTGAAAACTAGATTTTTCTTTGTTTTCTTCACACTTCATGTGTCATTTTTCAACTTGAAGCATTATTAACTGACAATGTTATTCTCTCTTAAGTAAACAAAGTAGCTAATGTTTGAAAACACTTTATGTGCAGTGCCAGTAATTGACTAACAACTGATTGTGATTGAACGTTTCTGACCCAAATTTTTATCATTATGTGCTATTTTTTGCACTTGATGCTTGATGACTACGAAGTGCTTTGAAGTGGATCTCAGTCATTCACTTGCAATATTCATCCAGCAGATGGAAATAGAGTAACACATTTGAAACAATTTTGTTTCTTCTAACATGTTCGGCAAAAATCCTCGAGATGGCGCTATTTCGCAGTTTTCCATCTGCGCCAACCGGCGTTAAAGGGTTAGTTCACCCAAAAATGAAAATTAAGTAATTAATTACTCACCCCCATGCTGTACCAACCCCGTAAGACCTTCGTTCGTCTTCGGAACACAAATGAAGATATTTTTGATTAAATTTGAGAGCTGTATAACTACCACATTGGCTCCTAAGGGACTGCCTCTTGACGGCCCAAAAAGTCAATGAAGAAAATGTTTAAATATCCCAAGTGACTACCGTGGCTCAACTATATGTTTATCAAGCGACGCGAATACTTTTTGTGCGAAAAAACAAACAAAAATAACGAGTTTATTCGACTATTTCTTTTCTTCCTTGTAGGCCAGAACGAGAATTCCTTAGATTTCCACGACGCATGCGCGAGATTTGCGATCTGCTCACACCAGCTTACACCAGCTTAGATCGCAATTCTCGCGCATGCGTCGTGGAAATCTATAAGGAAGTCTCGTTCTGGCCTACAAGGAAGAAAAGAAATAGTCGAATAAACTAGTTATTTTTGTTTGTTTTTTCGCACAAAAAGTATTCGCGTCGCTTGATAAACATATAGTTGAGCCACGGTAGTCACTTGGGATATTTAAACATTTTCTTCATTGACTTTTTGGGCCGTCAAGAGGCAGTCCCTTAGGAGCCAATGTGGTAGTTATACAGCTCTCAAATTTTATCAAAAATATCTTCATTTGTGTTCCGAAGACGAACGAAGGTCTTACGGGGTTGGTACAGCATGGGGGTGAGTAATTAATTACTTAATTTTCATTTTTGGGTGAACTAACCCTTTAACGCCGGTTGGCGCAGATGGAAAACTGCGAAATAGCGCCATCTCGAGGATTTTTGCCGAACATGTTAGAAGAAACAAAATTGTTTCAAATGTGTTACTCTATTTCCATCTGCTGGATGAATATTGCAAGTGAATGACTGAGATCCACTTCAAAGCACTTCGTAGTCATCAAGCATCAAGTGCAAAAAATAGCACATAATGATAAAAATTTGGGTCAGAAACGTTCAATCACAATCAGTTGTTAGTCAATTACTGGCACTGCACATAAAGTGTTTTCAAACATTAGCTACTTTGTTTACTTAAGAGAGAATAACATTGTCAGTTAATAATGCTTCAAGTTGAAAAATGACACATGAAGTGTGAAGAAAACAAAGAAAAATCTAGTTTTCAAAAGGGTCAGATTTCGTTGTTCATTATTTTTCTATTAAGCTTTAATTTTGTCTATATGCAATATATATAGGCTATATATATATATATATATATATATATATATATATATGAAGAGTTCAGATGCAAAAGCCTCTAAGTGCCATTTTTATCAAGCTTGTATATTTAAGTTCAGTAATTTCACTTAAATGGCAATGAAGATTACCTATTAATTGTCATGTAAGTGAAATTACTGAACTTAAATATACAAGCTTGATAAAAATGACCATTCTAGAAGAAAATTTCAAATGGCATTTAGAAGCTTTGCATCTGAACTCTTCATATATATATATATATATATATATATATATATATATAGCCTATATATATTGCATATAGACAAAATTAAAGCTTAATAGAAAAATAATGAACAACGAAATCTGACCCTTTTGAAAACTAGATTTTTCTTTGTTTTCTTCACACTTCATGTGTCATTTTTCAACTTGAAGCATTATTAACTGACAATGTTATTCTCTCTTAAGTAAACAAAGTAGCTAATGTTTGAAAACACTTTATGTGCAGTGCCAGTAATTGACTAACAACTGATTGTGATTGAACGTTTCTGACCCAAATTTTTATCATTATGTGCTATTTTTTGCACTTGATGCTTGATGACTACGAAGTGCTTTGAAGTGGATCTCAGTCATTCACTTGCAATATTCATCCAGCAGATGGAAATAGAGTAACACATTTGAAACAATTTTGTTTCTTCTAACATGTTCGGCAAAAATCCTCGAGATGGCGCTATTTCGCAGTTTTCCATCTGCGCCAACCGGCGTTAAAGGGTTAGTTCACCCAAAAATGAAAATTAAGTAATTAATTACTCACCCCCATGCTGTACCAACCCCGTAAGACCTTCGTTCGTCTTCGGAACACAAATGAAGATATTTTTGATTAAATTTGAGAGCTGTATAACTACCACATTGGCTCCTAAGGGACTGCCTCTTGACGGCCCAAAAAGTCAATGAAGAAAATGTTTAAATATCCCAAGTGACTACCGTGGCTCAAC